ACCCCTCACTTCCTTCCACTCTCACTAAAACTTGGTGGAAAAAATATCCCTGAGTGAGGATTAACAAAAAGAACAAAAGAAAGAAGGGGAGGAGAGAAAGAAAAAAAAAGGAGATATTGCTATGTCCCTCCATTCAGGCTCCTAGGCATTTGTGCACAGTGAGATGCAGGCAGTGATCTGTGAATGAGAATATATTATATAAATAAATTGCTGGATTTCTTTAATTGGAAAAATGCTTTATAAATGGGAAAGAGAAGAATATAAAACTATCTGTAGAATGGTACCAATTTTGTTCAAAAACCATTGAAAAGGTATGTATATACCTCATATGATCTTAGAAAAAAGTAATCAAATATTAACAGTTATTACTTATAGTGGGATTATGGTGATTTTAATTTTCTTATCCCCCCCTTTTTAAAACAATAAACATACATTAATTTCATCAGGGAAGCATAGTAAAAAATAACGTGCAGGGAGAGGTAAAAGAACCCAGATAGATGTTAGTGGGAAGATGGAAAATAGGAGTAAATAAAAAATAAGTGTTATTTATTCAGCACCTTGTAGATAGTAGGCCATGTTACAGGCTGTGTCTCCATTGTCTTATTTAGTCCTTACAAGAATCTTAGATGAGGAAGTGTGGCTCCATTTCCATTGGGGAGTCTGAGACTTAGGAGATGTGTAGAAACTTGTGCAGGTCACGGAGTGAGAAAGTGGCAGGTCCGCCTGTGCTGCTGAGGTTTCCAAGGCATTCTCTCATCCAGAGACTGTATAGTGAGGGGAAGATTGGCACACCTGTGGTCTGGCTCCTCAACATGGCCAAACCCTGCAGATGCATGGCAGAGGAGAAGCAGCCAGCTGGTACAGTTTTTGGGAGCCTGCCCCTGTCCTGTCCTGCCTGCCAGAGGCAAGTTTGGCACCCATTTGGTACACCTGTCATTTAAGTCAGAGTTCACTCTGACCATATGGGTCAGTGACTCTGCCAAGCTACAGTGCTATGTAGGGAGCAAGAAGAAGTCAGGAAGAAATAAATAATTGATCTCCCCATTACTTTATTTTCTTGTACAGACACTAGCTCTTACTACATGCCAGGCACTTCCTATTCTGAACACTTTACAAATCTCAACTCTTTTAATTTTCATGTTGATCCTATAAGGTGGGTATATTATTATCCCTGTTTTACAGAGGAGGAAACTGAGACACAAAAAGGTTTAAGTAGCTTACCCATGGTCACACAGCTATTAGAAGTTGCCAGTATTTGAAGTTGCCAATATTTGACAATTTTTGACCTATAAAAATGATTACACATGCTTGCACATAATAATAGCAAGTGGAGATAAAGAGATTTGAACCCAGATGAGCTTGGTCTGGAACCTGTGGGTGAACACTGTGGATACTTTCTCATTTTTGTTTCACTCCTCTGTCCCTTCACAGCCAAGGGGTTTCAAAGCTGTTCTTTCAGGAAAGCATGATGCTAGCATGTTATAAAATCATATCTTGATTTCTCTCTTCTCTCTGCATTTCCTTAATGTCTCCTATTTCCATTCAGACTTCCCCTTTTAGGGAACGTAGTGCTTACTTGGTCTCGCTCGTATGATTGGATGAAAGGCTACCCAAACCAGACCATCTTGAATTTGCTCTTTAGGGATCTGCAGGTAGATGCTAGGTTATATCTGAAAGGAAGCATATTTAGCAGTCTCTCCTTCCTGAATTGCCACCCCTGTGTTGGCCCTGTACTCTCTTGGCCTCCCTGGCTCACAACCCCAGCGCCCCCTTCCCTTGGCATCACAGCTCACTGTGCCTTGGCCTCCTTACCTCCGTCCTTTCCTATTGCTTTTATCCGCTCCCTTCCCCTTCAGTGGTCTGTTTTTCTTTGCCACCAGGTTCTTTTTTCATTTCAGTGGAAAAAGTCTTATACTCAAGTCTCTTTTTGTTCTACTTTTAAGACTCAGGTGCTTTTTAATATTTTTTTGAGTCAGAGCTCTAAATAAAGGCTTTATATACCTTCCTTCCCCAGAAGATGTTCCTGGTTGACCCCATGGCTCCTCTCAAATGGGCAACCTTTGCTCAGGACTATATGATTAAGAGCAAACACATACACACACACACACAAACTACCTGAAGCCTCCAAGTGTTTTTCTGAGAACCTCCCTTGCATGGAAATTCCCTCCCTCTTCACTTTTGCCTTTTCCTCTCCCACTTTGAGTAGGATTCTCTGCCACCTCTACACCCTCAGAGGTCCCTGGACTTAATCTAGTAACTTGATCATTGTGTCTGGGGCCATTCCTGAATTAAAATCCAGGAGTTTCACCTAGACCAACTGTGCATGAGATGAAGCATCTATGTATGCTCTGCTTCCTTTTCTATGAAACAGGTATAATGCCTACTGCATTGGTCATTGCTTAGTGCTAAGACCTGGGTACCACTTACACATGCTCTGCCCCTCCCATCTCCACTTCTATACCTCTGCCACCTTGATTCTGGCTGGCTTTTCCATTTGCACCCAGGTAGCAGCTTCTTCACAGGTCTCCTGCCTACCACAGCTCCCCCTTCCACCCTTCCTCACACACAAACACACTGTATCTCATCTGATAGTTTTAAGATAATAGTTAAAGTGGCAAACAGTCAAAATCCTATATAAATGTAAGGGGTACAGTTATCAACAAAACGAGTTTCCCTTTAGGGTCATGTATTCTCCATTGTGTTTTAAATATCTGCTCCCTGTGTACCTCCCTATAGAGTCAGCTGCTTAAGATGGTAGGCAGACTATGTAACATGGGCATTTTCTTCTTTCTCACCAGGAACTGAAGCTCTCTTCTCACGAGGAGGCCTTGTCATTTGTGTCCCTGGTAGACGGCTACTTTCGGCTCACAGCAGATGCCCATCATTACCTCTGCACCGATGTGGCTCCCCCATTGATCGTCCACAACATACAGAATGGCTGTCACGGTCCAATTTGGTTGGTTCTGTTACCTTTTCAGTTGCCTACAGTGTGAAAAGAGCCCTCACTTTAGTGATGGTGTGCATGGCCTCCTCAGACAGGTGTCATTGGTTGTTTAGGTGGGGGCCAGTTGAGCATGTTGTTTAGTTCTGACTTGGTGCCCTATATAAATGCCTGTTGTCTGTTGGTCAGGCATTCCTGTCATCTTTTATCTTGGTCTTTGCGGCAGCTCCTTACCTCTTCTCCCTCACTTGGGTCTCCTCGTAGTTTAACTCCTCACCTCTTCACAGCTGACCAAGAAGTGCTACACTTCCTAATCCCTCGCAGTGCCAAACATTGTGAGTGACTTGAGAGATAGGAACAGGTCTCAACATCAGACAGAGAAGTAAATAATAGAATCCTGAGTCAGCTTGTTGTAAAGTGTCAGATAAATGGTGGGGACAGGGAGGGCAACCAAGCCTAGAGCTGGAAGGGGCCTTGCTGGAATTTTGTCCCTCCTGCATCTCAGAACTGGTAGCCAGTGCTCATATAGCTCTGGGGATGTGCTACTTAGTATTACATGAGGCAGCCAGCAGATTCCAGCTCTAACAGTTCCAGACACATATACCTTTCTGGTCTGGGATTGAATTTGCATCTCTGTAACTTCTGCCTGCTCATTGGAGTTCTGCTATTTGAAGCTACAGGTCTTGGTTCACTTCTCCTTTCATATGACTGCCCTTCAGGCAAAGGAAAACAGCTGCAGTTTTTCTTCTCAGTCTCTCTTTCCAGACCAAAATATATCTGGGGAAGCATCTCTTTAGCTGCCTTACACATGACACAGTTCCCACCTTCTTCCCGATTCCAGTTACCTGTGGACAGGTAGTTTATAAGTGGGTGAACCCTGGCCTAGAGAGGCTTACAGACCCCCAGGGAGATAGATACAAAGAATTGCAGAGCAAGGGGCTGAGCATTATAGTGAAGCACGTCCTTCACAGTTGGGCCTCAGGGCCCTGGCACTTGCTTTCCCTTGGCCTGGAATGCCCTTCCTCCAAAATCTACATAGCCACCAGTTTCTTCAGGTGTTGCTCAAATATCACCTTATCAATGAAGTCTTCCCTGATCATCTTCTATAAAATAACAATATCTCTTCCCCCTCCTCACCCTGCACTTCCTGGCTCCTTTACTCTGCTTTATTTTTCTTCAGCATTTATTATCTCTTGACACCATGTTTATTTCCGTGTCCATTTGTTTCTTGTCTGCCTACTTTCCCTATCCAAAATATGAGCTTCATAAAGGCTGGGGCACTGATTTAATTATTTAATCATTTACTCATTTATTGAGCAGCTACTTTGAGCCCAAGGGTGCTCTGGTTATTGGGGATACAGCAATGAATAGAATAACCCCGAAGTTGCACCTTCCTGAGGCTCCTGTTCTAGTTGTGCTGCCTGGGGACGGTGCGGAGGGACCCCTACCACTGCATCATGGGCAGCTCCCCATCACCGGCCTTGGGGTGCTCTTCTGACTAGCACTGGAGACAGCATGTATGGGGAAATTGGGGATAAACAGGGCTCAGTGCCTTGGGCAGCATGCCGAGTCCTCTTCTAGACCTTGGAGACTCAGATGATCTGTTTCAATGCTCGCCAGCATCTCTGCTTGCCTCATGTATCATATCTGAGAGGACTTTAGGACCCAGGACAGGTAAGGTGATAAGGCTACAAGACTTGAGGGAGTTCAGGGAGTGGTTGTCCCATGGGGTTCAGAGTGCTCCTGTTTGGTGAGCTCCCTTTGTCTGTCTCTCCCTCTAGCACAGAATACGCCATCAATAAATTGCGGCAAGAAGGAAGCGAGGAGGGGATGTATGTGCTGCGGTGGAGCTGCACTGACTTTGACAACATCCTCATGACCGTCACCTGCTTTGAAAAGCCTGAGGTCAGTCAAGACACTGGCTTGGGTCAAGCCATATGGCACAGGGTGTCCAGTGCCACCTGGTCCAGGGGCTGCTGTGGAGAGGACTGCTCTTGGGTGGGGGTAGAAAAGTCTGGGTCTTTGAGAAAATCCCTGCCAGTTCTGATAGGGGCAACCTGCTGTCCAAAAGAAGGCCATTCCCCAGCAGCCAGATCCCCCATAACCTTTCTTCCTCTTTCTTCCTTCAAGGGACCCTCGGCAGGGGTCCACTGTGGTTCTAGAAGGTGGAACATGACCAGAAAACCAGTTCACACCCATACTCGTGAAGTTTAGTGTGACGTTTAGAGAAGTTTATTTTATATTCACTGCCAAGGTTAGCACAGACCCAGAGCTGTGTGCGTTTGTGGCATTCACTGGTACAAGTCAGTGCCAAGAAGGCCACCTTAGCAGTTGTCCTCACATGTTTCCCCCAGATGGTAGCTGCAGACATTTGAACAGATAGATTTCTGTTCCATGTTTTTATAGGTAGAGATGTCTTTTGGTGACTCAAGCTTAGCTGGAAGCTTGGAATAATGTGAGAGAAGTCCCAAAAGCTAAGATAAAAGGCAGAATTGACTTTACCTCACTAGACCACAAATGCCTTTTGTTAGTCATGTAATTTTTAAAAAAATACAGGAAATGGAATGTTTTAAAAAGACAATGCATTTCAGAGAATTAGTCCAAATAAATACACGAGTATTGATTGGGTTTAACATGAACTGGGAGAACTGGGATGGGGCCTTCGAGATGGAAGTAGCATGTTAGCATATTGAAGACCTCAGACACGGAAAGGAAAAGTACCAGAGAACCCTCGGGGACTGGACTCAGGAGTAGGAAGAGGAAATGGCAGAGGTACCCAGTGCTGCCAAGTGTCCTGGGCTGTGTCTCTAGGAGCCATTGCCTGCCTGAGGGCATTCCTGTACACCTAGGCCTTGGGCTGATTCGGGAGCAGTGGCTGAGAACTTGTTGGGCTTGTCTTGGCAGGAGGCCTGTCTTCTGTGTTCATTAGTCTTTGGAGGAAGTTTAATATTTTAACCTGGATGGGTGCATGAGACAGCTCAACCTCCTTGTGAGGCAGAATCCACCTGTACCAAGAATGTCAGTGAGTCAGTGATATAGTCCACCTGGTGTTACCTTACCTGGGGAAAACAGAGATCACAGCTATGATTACTCCTACTGTTCGTTTTAGCTCACCAGGCACTGTGCTAAGTGCTTTATTTAGATATTCTCATTTAAGCCTTATATTAGCCCTACGAGGTAGGTGATATTATCCCCATCGTAAAGGTGGAGGCATCGAGATTTTAAATATCTTATCCTAATTTACAGCATAAGTAGAACTTTCTGGCTTTTATTCTTAACCACTAAAATAGTTTCCTTGTACCGAAAGTGCCCATGAAGGAAGAGGTGTGCTTATGCTTCCTCTCTGTGGCACTGCGGGTCCCTGAAACGACCAGACAGCTGACTGCCGCCTCCCAAGGCGGTTCTCCTCAGATGGACATGTAGCCTGGAAGGACTCAGTTTGAGGGAGTTCCTGGATAAATTTTGAGATAGTAATAACTATTTTATGCATAATCATATTAGATAACTTGTATAAAGTGCTTTTCTATATGCACCATGTCGTACAATCATAGCAGCCATCCTGAGAGGCTGATGCTCCCGTGAATGTCATCCTGCAGGTGCTGGATGTGTTATGCTGTTATGTTATGTAACACTACTGTGTTATGCTGTTGCCTGAGTGTCAGCGCCCTTATCAGTTCCTTCTTCTTGACCCCCTTTTATTATTTATATATTTATTGTTTTGCTTTCTCGTTTATGATAAACTTTTATTTTTAAATAGTTTTAGATACAGAAATGTTATAGAGATAGCACCAAGCTCTGTATGCCCTTCACCAGCTTCGTCTGTCGTTCCCCATGGTACATTTGCCTGACTCTTTTAAAACACCATTTCTGCTCATTTTTCTGAATGGCAGGTGCTGGGTGGCCAGAAACAGTTCAAGAACTTTCAGATCGAGGTGCAGAAGGGTCGCTACAGTCTGCACGGCTCCGACCGCGGCTTCCCCAGCCTGGAGGAGCTCATGAGCCACCTCAAGAAGCAGATCCTGCGCACAGACAACATCAGCTTCGTGCTGAAGCGCTGCTGCCAGCCCAAGCCCCGAGGTCCGTCCCCCTGCCCCACCTGCCCAGTGCTGCCCTTGCCCTTCACTGGTGCCCCCAGATCCAGACCCACCAAAACATGCTGCTGCTTTGCAGAGTGGCCCCTCTCCACAGTTTCTAGGTGTTTTCCATTGAGCTTTCTTATATGTTTGTCCCATCTCAAATCCCATTCCTCAAGTGTAGCATTTTTTATAGAAAAACACACTTTTCTCCATATCCCTGTTAGGTTGCAGAAGGAGGCCTGTTTAGGATTCATAATGAGAAACTTATTTCTTCATTAAGATAAAATGTCTTGAGGTTCCCCTGTCAGTGGTTTATTTGTCTGAGAAATGATCCCGACACATCTTTTGTGGGCCAAGAACTATGTTACATGCAAAGAATCAGAAATGCCTAACACCCGGTCCCTGCTCTCCAAGGGTTTCCTCTCTAATACAGAAAATGTTGCAGGGAAATGAGGCCACTGCAGGATGTATTGGGTATTTTAATTAACACACACATGTAACAGACTCTGGGCTTGCAGAGAAGCGAAGGTCAAAATCCCTGAGTTACAGGGAATCGAAGGCTGTACGGAGGAAGTGAATTTGAGCCCAGTGTTGGACAGCGAGGGGTAGCTTACCAGTTAGAGAAGGGCATTTCCAGCAGAGCATGTGGGGGGGCGAAGTGGCAGGCAAAAGCAGGCTGCGGAAAGGTTCTGGAGGGCTAATGTTTTCGATGAAATTAGAAAGAAGGGGGAAGTGAGACTGGGGAGGGAGACACTTAGGACTGTGGGCGGCCTTGAGTGCCACACCAAGGAGCTGGGACTTTATCCTATAGGAAGTGGGGAGCCATGGGAAGATCAGAGAATAAGATGGACAGGAGGGGATGAGGAATTTGGCTGCTCTTTTTCAAGCCCTGCAAACCTGTCACTGATGTACTGCAGGTGGGTTCATCACCTCTTAGAATGTGAGAACTTGAAGGACCCTTAGGGGTCACCCAGTCAAGTGCCCCATTTTGTATATGAAAAAAACTGAGACCTGGAGAAGTGTTGAAAGTCAGGGTCAAAGGGGTGTGAATGCCAGGTCCACCTGGATGCCAGACCCCTTGAGTATTGGTTTTTTGATGTTCCCCTACCATGTGTCAGATCCTTCCCTTCATAGAGGTCAGGCCTCAAAGGACAGCGCACTTTTTTCTGACAGCAGTAAAAGTGGTTGAAGGTGCTCTGGGGAGTCTCAGATGTCCCCTGTTCTTGTAAGGAAGTACATTTGAGTCTTTACATCAGGGGTGGGCAGTGGAGCAGCACCAGGACAGAGAGGGCCTGGGCTCTTGATATTTGAATCACTTCTTGGTCTCTCAGCAAGGGACTGTCACTGAGTTTGGTGAAAGAGGAAGGACTTGTGTTCTGGTCAATCAGATAGGGTTTCCTGCCAGCGTCACAGAATAACTGCAGCCTTTGTTTTTGTGCTCAAAGATGTTCCGCAGAGGTAAAAACTTATCTGCCACTTGGCCGTGAGACCTCAGACTGAGTTAAAACCTTAAAGCCTAACAATCCCGTTTACTCACATAATCTCTCCTTCCAGATATTAGAAGCGGTTTTTATTTTCCTAGAAATTAGTGGTCTCTGGGTGAGGTTGAGGACATGGAGAACAGCAGCCACAGGAAGAGACAGGTGGTGAGGTGGGAGACTGGAACATGATTTTTTGCAGGCATCAGCTGGGGAGGTCTCAGGGGTAGACGCCACCCCTACTAGCCCAGATCTGGGAGCCAGCAGCTGTGGAGGGAGAGGCACAGGAATGGAATTGAGCCCCTCTGTTGTGGCTTTCTATTGAGGCTCCAGGAACCTGCCTTGAGTATGCTTAGTGTCTGTCACTTCATGTGAATTTGTGAAGATCTGGGTCTCATCACTCTGTGACTCTTGGGAAGCTCAGCACCTAAAATAGAATCATCACTCAGTAATGCCTGTCAAGTCAGTAACTAGCGGTAGCTACCATATTGGTGGGTACTTACTAGTCCCAAGAAGTATAAATGCATATTTGCATTTCTTTCATCTATATCATAGTTCTTTGTAGCTGTCATAAAGATGAAGAAATTGAGGCTCAGAGATGTTCAGTGACTTGTAGAAGGTCACACAGCTGGCAGTATCAGTAGAAGTTACAATAATAGTAGCGATGATGATGATGGTAATGGCTACCATCCTGTGAGTAATGCTTGCAATTTGCCAGTGTTTGAGGGTCTTTCATGTTTTAATCATTTAGTCTTCATAACCACTCAGAGTATGCTGTTATCCTGATTATACTTGTCCAAGATCACTTAGGTAGGTAGAGGAAGAGGGGGATTTGAAGTCACGCTTCTGACTCCAACTTCAGTGATCTTTCCCCTTTGTCACACTGTCTTTGCAAAGGAGCAGGTGCAGCCATCAGCCCAGCTCTGGGGCAAGGTCCAGTTCTGATTCCAGGGTAAGCAGGGAGGAGAGTGCTCGGGAAGGAAGGAGGGAAAGGGACTAGAGTTAGGGAGGGTAGGAGCCCTGTGTGTGAGGTTCTCATGCAGGCCCTCAGAGGCCTCTATCTTCCTCTGCCACCTGCCAGTTAGAGAAGTGGTGAAATCATGAACATTAAAGAGAATGTCATTTTGAGTCCCTCAGTGTCTCTGCCCTTCTAACCATAAGGCTCTGATGGCCAGACCCCAACCTGCATTTCTCACTTGAAAACATAACCTAGAAACTCCTCATGGAATAAATGAAAGTAGGCAGCCACTCAGAGTGCCTTGTGTGTTGTCTAGCCCCACTGCCCCTCTCCACGTCTGAGGGTAACCATGTTAGGAGATCGCGGCCCACAGAGCTCACTGGCCCTATCACCACTGATCCTCTCCATTCCTTATCTGTGGAGTCCAGCTTGGTGCTCTATTTCTGCATCTTTAGCTCTGACACTGAGGACTCCTGTGACTGTTGCCAAGGCTTGAGAAACCACTGGTGCAGCGCAGACAGTGTCGCTAAGATGTAAAACTGGTCACAATCACAATGGCTACCAGTTAAGGAGCATTCCCCCCACACATCAGGCACTGAAGTAATCCTTGCACGCACAATGTCTTATTCCTCACAGCAGGGGCCATAGCTGAGACCCACATTTTTCTAATGAGAAAACAGCTTCATGGAGGTTAAGTGGCTTCCCTTGCTCACATTGACCTGAGGGCCATGTTCCTGGAAGTAGCCATACCAGTCATCAGCCCATGAATGGCCCCTGTTCCCATCATCCTCCCTAGTTTCTCTGACAGCTCTGCGCTGACCATTCTGATGGCCCCTCCCTGATGTCTTTTCTCCTTCACGGCAGTCCTGAGATGCCTGTTGAATCAGATTTTACCCAGGTACCAGGGTGGAATGAGGATAACAGAATGGAGGAGAGTAGACTCAGGATGTGATAACGGGGGAGTGTACCTGAACCCAGTTTTCAGCACGTAGATTTGTATGTCCCAGTAGGATCACAGGTGCTGTGGGAACAAGGTGAGATTGGAGCCATCCCTGACTTCAAGGGCGAATCCCAGGTCTTCGGGCTTACTAGCTGCCTTACCTCGGGCAAATGGCTTGATCGTTTAGAATCTGTTTTCTCACCTATAAAAGGGGTGGGTAAAAATATTATATACCTCATAGGATTGTTATGAGGACCAATGAGTTAATGTGGTAAAGCTCTTAGGACTGGGGCTAACACAGAGAAAGCAGAAAATGTTAGCTTAAGGGGGAAAAAGGAGAATAAAACCCTGCCTTGTCGGGGTAGTGAGGGTTTGAGAGACTGTGCTCTGGTCACTTGGCCTGACACTCAGCAGCTAATTGATGAACACGTAAAAATCTTGAGAGGTTCCCAGAACACTCTAATAGTCGAATCTGAAGGTGCTCCCTTCCCCCATCCTGTAACTAACCTCGGGGTGGGAAGATGACTTCCATGGATTATAAATTCCTAGTTAGCCACCTGTGGTCACCCTGGCCTGGCAGATTTTATAATGTGTTCCATTTGCTGTTTGAATCTGTAGAGTTTGGAGGATGGTCTGCTCATAATCTGTACAGTCTGCAAGTATTTAGTAAGTGCCCCTTTGGTGTCAGGCAGTGTGGGAGCACAGATAAGTTCAGGCACAACCCTCTGCCTGGGCCACCTGTCGTCTTCTGCACGAAACCAGTATTTTCACCCCCCTGCCTTTGTTCCCATCACTCCTTAGGCCCAACATACTGCTGCTTCCTCCCTCCTGAGCTCACACCCCAATTATTCATTCACACATTTAACAAATCCTTATTGAGTGCCTACTATGTACCAGACTGTGGAAGTAGAGCAAGACATGCTTGGGGAAACCTTCCTTACCTCCTCCTGGGACAGATCCTGCTGTCAGCCCACAGCACTCGTGCCTGTCCTTAGAGTAGCTGTACAAGTGGTAGCCTCCTTTTGATTGGTTATTTGATTTGTTTTAGCTCTGTTATTAGCCTATGAGCTCCTGGAGGGCAGGAATGAAGTACTCAACAAATATTTGTTGAATTAGTGAACCAACAAATGCACAAATATGTGTTCAGCAAGCCCCTGGCTTGGCGACATTGGCTGATTGGAATCTTGGGCCTTTGCTATTCCGTTCAAACTTCTCCACTCTCTTACACAGAAATCTCCAATCTGCTGGTGGCTACCAAGAAAGCCCAGGAGTGGCAGCCCGTCTTCCCCATGAGTCAGCTGAGTTTCGATCGGATCCTCAAGAAAGACATCACGCAAGTGAGTTATTACTGCGGCTCCTGGGTCCCGCCTTGGTCCTACCTCCCTCCAGCAGGGCAGTCTGGGGACTTGGGGAGGAGTAGAGTCAAGTTTTGGGCAAATCTAGTTAAAAGGGGACAAGGAAAATTTTCTTTCAGAATTAAAGCAGTTTAACCAGCACCCTACCTTCCTACCCGGCCTTGCTGATCCCCCCACAGAGACGCTTTCTCCTTGAAGGAATTGTATTAGTTGGGTTTTGGGGGGTTGTCTAGGGTACAGGGACCTTATTGCCCCATGACATGCTATGTGACAAAGTACTTCTGAAGTTTAGTATGGACTTTCTGATGATGCTTCCAGAAGGAGCAAAGCTGAACACAGACACAGTGAGGCAGCAGGAGGTACAAAATCGAGGCCTGAAGAACTCTCTGGAGAAACAGACCCTAGAGCAGTGTCCCAGCCTTGGCAGGCCTTTAGCCCAGAGTCTGCAGCCTTAGGCAGGCTGTTTGCCATGTAGCTGCCCTGGGGCCTTGGCTAGAGGTGTGAGGTCCAGGGAATATCCCCCTTTATATTCCACACCCCTTCTGCAGTCCCCTTACATCGAGCCACACACCAGGGAAGGCTAAGGTTAGAGCATCCAGCAGCCTTGGGGAGAAAGAATCTACAAAGGGCCATTTGCCACCTGAGAGAGGCTGTGACACCTTGGAGGTGTTGGAGGGTGCATCATGGGCTCACCGCCATCAAGGAGGCTGGTGGAAGGTGGCAGGCATGGGGTTGGTTTGCTCCTTGACTAAGTTAATTTCTGAAATTGTTGGGTAGGGTTTTGAGGGAGTGCAAGTTCACAGTTATAGCTGCCTCACTTCCATTACTGTAAGTTCTTTACTAAAGGTAGGTCTTTATTATTCTCTGTCCCTCTGGTGGTGTCAGCCCTGTGCCCAAAGATTAAAATCACCAGACCAGCAGTGCATCAGCCTCTTTTCTGTCTAGAATTTGACATACACTTGGGACTTTCCTTCTTTCCTTCCCCTGGAGCTACTGGGCAGATAACCACCATCCTCATGCCTCAAGCTTCATTTAGCCAGTAGTGATGGAACACTTTTTGTGCCAGGCACGATCCGCACCCTCTGCAGGCTCCGAGTCTCAGGGGAAGAGAATTATATTATCAAGAGGTAAGTCCTAAGTAGGGAAAGATATTAGGGTGTGGACTCTCAGAGACAGTCATCCCACCTAACCTTGGGAGGACAGAGATGGCTTCCTTCAGGAAGTGGCATCAAAACAGAGCCCCAGAGGATGGAGAGCAAGCACTGTGCATAAGCAGAGGGAGCAGCACGGAAGGAGGTCTATGTGGGGCCTTTGCGGGTTGCTGTGGAATCCTGACAGCTTGGTGCCATGACTTGGCCACTGGAATAAGTAACCCGTCTGGGGAAGAGTAATTATTCTGAAAGCATATGGCTTTTATGGGATGTTCTGGGAGCACTGCTTCCCATAACCTTGATGAATCGCTTCATGACAGATGCCGCTCTAATAAGTCATTGCAGGCCCTTGCCAGGACATGGGAGACAGGGCAGATGTATCACCATCTGCAGTGACAGATGACAAATGGTGATGTTTGTGCAAATTAATACACCCGATTAGCGGTGGTGTACATTCCTATGGGGTACAGGAATCAGCCGAGGAGTCAGCCACCATCCATTCTCTGCATTTATAGGAGGTCCTAAAACAATAGAACTTTAGTTTACAAGTTTTGTGGGGTTAATGTCCATGACTCAACAATGCCTAAGTTTTATGAATCACATGCTGATTCCAAATATTAAGAATGTTTAGATCAGGATTATTCAAGCTTAAACTGGGAGAGTCCTTAGGTACAGGTCATTGTGTGCTAAGGGCTTTGTGCAGATGATCTCGTTTAGTCCGCATACCACTCCTTGGGTGGGATTATCCATTTCCACATGTGAGGAAACTGAGAGCCTGCCCTCCAGTCTGTGCCTCTGGTTCCACATAGCCTTTTCTGTGGGATTGCTAGGGCAAATACATATGTAAATGCATCGCTAATTCTAAAGCATGCACATGTACACACCTGCACTGGGTATATGGATAGAAGATGAACAGTTCACATATGAGAAATAGCAAGCACCTGGTCAGGGGGCAATGAAACAAAGCACACCCTGTGCCAGGGTCTGTACAGGAGCCTTTATAGCTATTTGCTCATTTGACTCTTACAACAATCCAAGCCAAATACCATTATTATCCCCGTTTGCAGAAAGTGGGCAGACATTGAGCATGGTGAATGTCCCTAAGTTAAGCGGCCAGCAAGCAGTAGAGCCAGGACTAAGAAGCCCCTGTGTTTGTACCCCAGCTTGTGAACAGAGCCCCCTATAGGGTCCTCTCTAAGTCTGCTCTGGGGGCCCAGGCTGGGGCTGATGTCATTGGCTGTTGAAGCACTGTCGGAAGTTTTGTGATAGGTCAGGATTATGTTTTGGCCACAGGCTATTGCTAGGAGTAGAAAGGAAAGAGTGTTTGGGAATAGGAGGGCTGTCTCCTGGGGCCCAGGAAGTGCCACAACTCTGTTTGGCCAAGTAGCTTTTTGTTTTCTCTGGAGGCCTGACCAGGGTGAGGCACTGGAGAGGCTGTGAGCTGTAGGAGCTCTCTTGCCTTTGCCTCACCCCTTTCTGGTATTGTGTTCCCATTAAGGCCTCGGTCCCAGACTCTGGCATCCCAGCAGCCCCAGAGAGCAGTCACCCCAACCTCCTGCTTCCTCCTGCAGGGCGAGCACCTTGGGAGAGGCACACGGACACACATCTACTCTGGGACCCTCATGGATTACAAAGATGACGAAGGAACTTCTGAAGAGAAGAAAATAAAAGTGATCCTCAAAGTCCTGGACCCCAGCCACAGGGACATTTCTCTGGCAAGTGTCTTCCTTCTAATGCCATCCCTCCCTACCCCATTTCTGGAACTCATGGAGCACAGTGGGCTGGGAAGAACCTTATGTTGGCCTTATTTATGGTTTTCAGACTTGTCTTTTATGTAATTCCTTTTTTCAAATGTAATCTTAGGTAAATGAGGGAGGATTGAAGGTGAAGTGGATCGAGCAGCCCTTCCTGCCTGGCCTCTCCCTTCCCTCTCTTCCCATTTCCTACCTGGAGGTTGTTGTGGCCCCAGGACTGCAGCTGAATGGTCTCAGAGTCCCTGATGTAGTCAGGCTGTCACTTCACAGTCTGGAAAATTAAAGCCCAGGGGAGTAAAAACTTACCCTGGATCCCACAGACTATTAGAGAAATGGAGCCAAGTCTTGACAGAGGTCTGCCGCCTTGGTTTCCCTTTTATTCTAATGTAGTGCCGAACATTGTCTTTTCCCCAAGTTTAAAGGAAGAGAAAGTGGGGCATGTATATCCAGTGGGGAAAGTGTTAGCTAGCCTACCCATGGCCCAGCCAGACTGGTGTCACGGTGAAGGCTTGGAGCAGCCTTCAGGACCTGAATAATGAGAGTTGCGAGCTTTCCTGGGATCCATTGACTTTTCCTCTCAGCAGAGCCCCTTTGGGATCAGACCAGGGGCGGCTGACCCTTGACCTTCCTTTGTCCTGTTCTCCCACAGGCCTTCTTCGAGGCAGCCAGCATGATGAGGCAGGTCTCCCACAAGCACATCGTGTACCTCTATGGTGTCTGTGTCCGAGACGTGGAGAGTGAGTGTATTCTGAGGAAGGGGAGGTTCTCTCTGGCTGTGGGGCGAGGGTGCTGTGAAGACGCCTGGTGGCTGATACCTTCTTGTCGTCCAGATTTCTTGCCTTTCTTTTTGTAATTGAGGAATTTGAGGTACTGAGCAGGTCATATGTTTAAGTTAATAGTGACCATGGAACTAAATCCTGAGACTCTGGGCCCTGGAAGGCTGGGGTGGGTAAACCGAGTTTGTTCCCCTGTATAAGGAGCTCTGGGCCGGGCTTGAACCCAGGCCTCTCCAGCTCAGAGTTGCTCTGCTCTTTGCCTCTCCCAAGGATGTTTGTATCCTTCCAAGCCAAGCATTAGCCCGTAAAGTGAGTCCTAGTCAGGAATGAGGGAAGGTACTGTCCCAGACAGAAGGTTCCAGATGAGACTATTTTTGTGCTTGTAGATATCATGGTGGAAGAGTTTGTGGAGGGAGGGCCCCTGGATCTCTTCATGCACCGGAAAAGCGACGTCCTCACCACACCGTGGAAATTCAAAGTTGCTAAACAGCTGGCCAGTGCCCTGAGCTACTTGGTAAGTATATTGTGATCTGGTGTTGGAGGTCTACCAGGAACCAGAATGTCCTAATAGGGGTGGTAGGAAGGAGGTGCTAGCCAGGCAAAGCCAAGCAGGTTGGAGTGCCTGGGCTCAGTGGTTAAACACAGGTGTGCCTGGTGCTTAGTGAAAAGGGTCATTTTGGGACATTCCATGTGCTCCAAACGTAGGAATCTTGTTTAGAGGGAACTTTTGTCACATCAGTGTATTGGTAAGAGAAGAAATAGTGCAATACCTATTGAATGAATGAATGAATCTACCAGCATCAGTAATAGCTCACATTTATTGAGTGCTTACCGTGGTTCAGCTGTTCATGTGTTTTTACAGATTCTAATTCATTAAAGTCCCACAGAAGCCCTATGAGGCATGCTCTACCATTCTCCCTGTTTAACTGATGAGAGATGTTATATAATGTGCTCGAGTCACACATTCTGTGGAAGAGTTAGGCTGCCTAGGTCTGGTTGTAACGGGGGAACATGGAGGGATTGATTTAAGAGGCCAGGGTTGGAAGTTGTGGGAAGGATGGAAGACAGGCAGCCCTGGGGCCGCTTTGTTTAGCTCACCCTTTCTACTCCACAGGAAGATAAAGACCTGGTCCATGGAAACGTGTGCACTAAAAACCTCCTCCTGGCCCGCGAGGGCATCGACAGTGAGTGTGGCCCATTCATCAAGCTCAGTGACCCCGGCATCCCCATCACTGTGCTGTCCAGGCAAGGTGAGTCTCCTCACCCCTCCCCCCCCAAAGCGGAAGGGGGCTGGGGCTGGGTTTGGGGTTCTGTCTCCTTTCAGAAAGTACACTCAAGCCAAATGGGTGTCTGGTGCTCCTGCTGTGCCCTCGGGGCTGGGGGAAGATAAGGAGTGGAAGGAGGGTTGGTCCCTGCTTTCTTTAAGAAGCTGACTGTGCAGTAGGAGAAACAGACAACTCACCCAAGGTGTGTCTGGTCCTTGCAATTAAGGAGCTGTGTTCAAAGTGTCGGGTTAGCACAAAGGTAGGCAGCCTGTCCGGAGGTGACCAGAGAGGTGTCAGGAAGAGTTGGGCCTCCTAGGTCCTCCCTTGCACCTTTTGAGATCCACTGGAGTTAGTGAGCAGTTTGGGGAGGCACTTGAACAATTACTGTGGTCTTGCATTTTCTCTTTGAATGAGGTTATCATGTGTGGGCCCCAAAGGAGAGAGACCTGGGAGCTGAGACACTAAAACCAGTGCTGCACAGGTCATGCTCTGCCTCTTTGCCTTATAGGCCATCCTTGAAGACCAGCGTGATCAGCCAGCCATCCACCCACCCACCTGCAGGGGGCCTGTCCTCAGCAAGAGTCTGAGGCACAGGCACAGATGACTCTATAACAAGTAGAGGGGCCTAGGTACCCAGCAAGAGATGCCAGTTAAATGCTTTGGACATTCAAAGGAGGATGGGGGTGATTCAGGGAGGTGGTGGGATGACAGGTCAATGAGGTGGGCCTGCAGCAAGGTGACGGTAAGCATGTGATTCTAGAGTATTGCCCACATGTGCTTGTGTCAGAAGATCTAGAGTATGGAGAGGAAGGAAGGGCCAGTGGGCCTGACCATGAATGCTGAGCTCAGGAATGGCTCTCCTGCCTGAGGAGCCCTGTGGCTGTGCCATGAGGCCATGTACTGGTTGAGGAGCATTTCCATGGGCATGGCAGAGGTTTCTGCTCAGATCACTGGCCTTGGTTAGAAGCAGAACAGGGGCTACAAAGGTCCCTGGGGTATGAGAGATGTGTGGCTTTTTTACTTCAGTCTTCCCTTCCCTGTTGTTTTCCAAATGAAAGAAACCCACATGAAATAAAGATAACATTGCAGGGTGATTGTGTAGAATACATGAGATTAGCATGTGCCTGCTCTGTGTAAGTTGGCCTCTTCTCCCATGCCTTCTCTTTCTGAAGCCTTTGTCCACTTGACCCCCCTGTTCTCCCTCCTCGGGGTGTTGGCCTCCACCCTGGGTGCTGTGCTGGTTCTGAGGCCAGAGCTTCGGAAGACGGGCTGCACATAACCTTCCTGGGGTATTTGTGATAAACAGACACATCTGCTGGCCCCTACTCAGACTGCTGCATCCAGAATGCCAGGGATGTGGGGCCTGGATTTGTTTGGAAAACACTACTTGAAATAGTTCCTTTGTGAGCTCACAGTGCTTGCTACAGTGATAGTGATTTGCTCCCCAGGTAATTGCAGAAACTCATCTATAAATGTCTGCTGTCTTTCTGCAGAGTGCATAGAACGAATCCCGTGGATTGCTCCCGAGTGTGTTGAAGACTCCAAGAACCTGAGCGTGGCTGCTGACAAATGGAGCTTTGGAACCACACTCTGGGAAATCTGCTACAATGGCGAGATCCCCCTGAAAGACAAGACACTGATTGAGGTGAGCATTTGTTCCCCAGGGTGCGAGCTGAGTGAGAGCTCCTTGGATACTCATAGACATCTCAGGAGTTAACAGGAAGCCTCATATTGTGGGAAGAGATGGGCCCAGGTTTGAATCTCCTCCACAGGCTTACTGGCTATGTGACCTTGCAACTGTAACTTAACTTCCTTGGGCCTCAGTTTTAGCACCTGTGCAGTGGAGATACATAGACCCACTTTGTAGGGCTGTTGTGAAGACTAAGTAATGCACAGTCTAAATAATGTACAGTTCAGTACATGTTCAGTAGGTCATTATAGTATTTATCTGAGATTTTAAGTGCCTGTTAATCAGCAAAATTAACACAAGTATTTGTTGAGTTCCTTCTGTGTATCAGGCATTATCCCAGGTAAAAGCTGGGGGCTCACAATAAAATAGACATAGGCCTTGTCATCCCTTGAGAATGTGGTAGGAGAGTTAGGCTAAAATAACAATAATAAGGATTCCATAAATAATATCTCAAACTGTCACTGTAAGAGCCCTGTGGTTAGGTAGGAGAGTGCCATTACCCTCATTATACAGGTTCCAGGTCAGGTAGCAAATGTAGGTGTAGTCTAAGATACTCACCTGGGTTCCCAGCTAGAATGTGAAACAGGTGAGGCTTGAACCTCTCATACTTACTTGTGGAAAGAATGGAGACTTAACTGCAAAGGGATAAAGTAGTAAAAATAACAGTAAAGGACCACTGACCCCGACCCAGTGATTGTTTTTGGAACATGCTTGTGTGTTCAGAGGTATAGACATAACTGTTAGCTGGGAGGGACTGAACTGATCAAAGTCCAGGGGAATGTGGCCTTTCAGTTTTCTATGGGAAGCAATGAGCGGTTTCGTTTGCCTAGAGTATGGAAAGGAATGACAGGTGATAAGGTTGGAAAGATATCTGTGGTCAGGTTGTAAAAAGCCCCAAATTGCAGGAATTTTACTTGGGGGGGGGGCATTGAAGCATTTGGGTGAGGAGTGAGATGGTTGGAGGTCAGCTTGAGGACACTGTCTGGACATGGTGGTGGGAATGGACAGGCTGAGGAGAGACCAGCAGGGGACTCGTGCTCCGAAGCTAAAACAGGAGTGGCATTGGGGACCCACAGTGGAGGGTGTATACGTAGGAGATCATCAAAGATGGAGAACCTTTAACCATTTAACCTTTTGCCGGGTAAAGATGGTGCAGGACTTGGGACAGGGCAGTTAAGCTAAAACCAATAGGGAAACCATCAGATCTGTAAATCTCTTTGGAATTTTCAGCCTAGGCTTTTGGGAAAGTCATTTTATTTTGAACTTCCTTGGAAATAAAACAGCATACCCTTTGATGTCAGTTGGTATTTATTGAGTACCTGCTCTGTACCCAGGGCTGAGCAGGATACAGGGGTGGTGTAAGGAAAGGTGTGTCTTCAATAAAATAAGTGTCCTGCTCTTCTCCTAAGTAGCCTGGGTTGGGTTGGACAGCACTGGAACAGGGAACGGTGAGTGACACCCAGAGGTGAGGGCAGCTCTCAACTCCTCCTCCCCTCCCCTAGGGGGCCCTCTTACCTCCTCACCCTCAGAGGGACCAGAAGAGGAACCTAGTACTCTTGAGATTCAGCTATAGGCAGAAACTGGAGTGTAGTAATTTCACTTAGTTTTTAAAAGTGGCATCAACAGTTTGTTTCTGAATTTTAAAGTAATTAAACAGTTGAAGAAAATCTGAACAGTTAAAGAAAATAGTAGTTACCATGTTCCTGTCACCCCTGACCACTATTTAACACATTGGCATACTGTCTTCTAGTCTNGACATAACTGTTAGCTGGGAGGGACTGAACTGATCAAAGTCCAGGGGAATGTGGCCTTTCAGTTTTCTATGGGAAGCAATGAGCGGTTTCGTTTGCCTAGAGTATGGAAAGGAATGACAGGTGATAAGGTTGGAAAGATATCTGTGGTCAGGTTGTAAAAAGCCCCAAATTGCAGGAATTTTACTTGGGGGGGGGGCATTGAAGCATTTGGGTGAGGAGTGAGATGGTTGGAGGTCAGCTTGAGGACACTGTCTGGACATGGTGGTGGGAATGGACAGGCTGAGGAGAGACCAGCAGGGGACTCGTGCTCCGAAGCTAAAACAGGAGTGGCATTGGGGACCCACAGTGGAGGGTGTATACGTAGGAGATCATCAAAGATGGAGAACCTTTAACCATTTAACCTTTTGCCGGGTAAAGATGGTGCAGGACTTGGGACAGGGCAGTTAAGCTAAAACCAATAGGGAAACCATCAGATCTGTAAATCTCTTTGGAATTTTCAGCCTAGGCTTTTGGGAAAGTCATTTTATTTTGAACTTCCTTGGAAATAAAACAGCATACCCTTTGATGTCAGTTGGTATTTATTGAGTACCTGCTCTGTACCCAGGGCTGAGCAGGATACAGGGGTGGTGTAAGGAAAGGTGTGTCTTCAATAAAATAAGTGTCCTGCTCTTCTCCTAAGTAGCCTGGGTTGGGTTGGACAGCACTGGAACAGGGAACGGTGAGTGACACCCAGAGGTGAGGGCAGCTCTCAACTCCTCCTCCCCTCCCCTAGGGGGCCCTCTTACCTCCTCACCCTCAGAGGGACCAGAAGAGGAACCTAGTACTCTTGAGATTCAGCTATAGGCAGAAACTGGAGTGTAGTAATTTCACTTAGTTTTTAAAAGTGGCATCAACAGTTTGTTTCTGAATTTTAAAGTAATTAAACAGTTGAAGAAAATCTGAACAGTTAAAGAAAATAGTAGTTACCATGTTCCTGTCACCCCTGACCACTATTTAACACATTGGCATACTGTCTTCTAGTCTGTTTATGTTTTTTGAACAAAATTGGGACCATGGTAGTTATATATGCTCTATCTTTTCATTTAATATTGAGTACTTTCCTGCGTGATTAGATGTTTTACAGTTATTATAAATTCAGTGTAAGAGTTCATTGCTCTGTTAAACTCTTAATTTACTTAACTAATTTTATATCTGGCATTTGGTTTGTTTTCATACTTGTCATGTTCTATTTAATCCTGCAGGGAATACCTTAACATAGGAATCTTTGTTTGTATCTGATTTATTTCTGTCATATGATAATTAGAATTAATGAGTCAAAGGGTTTCAAGAATTGGGAGATTTTTATATATAACATTGCCAAATCGTATTCCAGAACGGTTATCTAACTTTACTGGAATGCAGCTTGTTTGGGTTCAGATTATTTTAGTATCAGATTTCCCTACACTAGAATACAGCAACAGAAACACACACACGATTATGAAATCTACTTTTAAGCAGAGCTGTTAGAAATTAAATTAGGGATTGGATACTCCTGACCTGGGGCTAAAGGTTTGTGGGTGGTTCCTTTGATTTCTTCCATGTGATCCTCTTCTTTACAGAAAGAGAGATTCTACGAAAGCCGGTGCAGACCAGTGACACCGTCTTGTAAGGAGCTGGCTGACCTTATGACTCGCTGCATGAACTATGACCCCAATCAGAGACCCTTTTTCCGAGCCATCATGAGAGATATCAATAAGCTGGAAGAGCAGAGTAAGGCACTGCCTGGCACTGTTTAACCAAGATCAGCCATGCCCTGGAGAGCTGGTTTCGGGGAGCAGGGATAACTAGGGGCCTGTGAGTGGCACTCACATCTTTTTAATGTTTTCATTTTTCTTCCTTTAGATCCAGACATTGTTTCAGAAAAAAAGCCTGCAACCGAAGTGGATCCCACACATTTTGAAAAGCGGTTCTTAAAAAGGATCCGTGACTTGGGAGAGGCAAGTTCCATCCTAGTACCCTGCTGACCACATCACCTCTATGTGCATTTAACGCTGCTCTCCATTCTTTCTCATTTTGGGTCAAAGTTCGTAAGAGAAAGTATCTTATTGCATTTTCTTTGGCCACTTGTATCACAAGGGATTGTGTCACTCTATGCATAGTGATAGCATGCGCATGTGGCTGTATATGCACACAGGACATGCTCCCTGAGGCACAGAAGAGAATGGAAGGGGAGCAGTATGGGGGAGTAGGTACAGATATGGTAGAAATAGAAGATTCTCTCTGACTTTTCTGGGCACTGTGTCCTATGAAGCTGCTTAAATGAGGGATTTACTGCAGAGAGCACCGTCAGCTTTCCTTTGGACCTCAAATGGGAGTTTCCTAAGAGTTAATGTGATAGAGAAGATACTGGTATTCGCGTTTTTATACAGATTTTTCTGTAGTTCGGTTAAGTAAACAGGTCTGTGTCTTGCCTTGAGTCTCTGTGGTGTGTCAGGCTATGTGCTGGGCATTTTACAGGCAGTGTCCCTAGTTCCTTACAGTATCTATCCCTGAGGGTTTACTACTACTGTATACATTGAGCACTTCTGGACCAGCTCTAAAGATTTGGTGACTGGGCCAGCGTCACTATCGAGTGGCTTAGCTGGGATCATATCCCCTGTCCTCTAAAGACTCCTCATTCAGTGCTCTTTGCAGCTACCCCATGGTGCCTCTCCTGTCGGGTGGACCCAAGGCTGTCCAAAAATGCCATAGTTATCCTGCATGTCCAAAATATCTTCATTTCCTTTGGGTTACATTTTCATGGAAACTGGATTGATGTGTTGCTTCACCGGATACTTGCCTTGTCTTAGCTCAGTAATAGAGGGGGTGGCATGTGAGGAAACAGCTATGGTGATGGGGTGAAAGCCAGCAGGAGGCAGCTACTGCAGGGTCAGGCTGTGCAGTTGACCCCTGACCTTCTGGGGAATAGCATGGGGAGCAAGACTCGTCTTTTAATTGGAAAAATTTGACGTTCTATTGTGTAAATTTAAGGTATATAGTGTGTGCTACTTTGATACATTTATATATTGTAATATGGCTGCCTGTGTAATGATGTTTATCACATTACATACTTGTAGTACAGTATTATCATCTGTGTTCAATATACTGTAAATCTCTGTGGCTATTTTAGTACCTGTTACAAGTTCGTACCCTTAAACACCATCAGTCTTAACCCTCCAACCTCATCACCCATTCCCTGGTAACTGTTTTACTGTGTTTTGTTTTTTTTTAAACAGGTTTGATTTTTGTTTTAGATTCCACATATAACTGATATCGTGTATTTGTCTTTCTCTAGTCTGACTTATCTTGCTTAGCATAATGTGCTCAAGGTCCATTCATGTTATTGCAAATGGCAGGATATCATCCTTTCTCATGGGTGAAGACTATTTCATTGTGTATGTGTATTACATCTTTTTTACCCATTCATCTATTTATGCCATTCATTGATGGGCATTTGTTTTTTTCCTACATCTTGATTATTGTGAATAGTGCTGTGATAAACCTGGGGTGCAGATATCTCCTTGAACTCCTTTTTTCATTTCCTTCGGGTATACTCCCAGAAGTGGAATTGCTGGACCATATAGATCTATTTTTATTTTATTTTTTTAATCCTCACCTGAGGATATTTTTTCATTGCTTTTTCAGAGAGAGTGGAAGGGAGAGAGAAACATCAATGTGAAAGACACACATTGAGTGGTTGCCTCCCGCATGCAACCCCACCTGGGGTCAGGGATCAAGCCTACAACTGAGGTACGTGCCCTTGGACCCTTCAGTCGCAGGCTGGTTCTCTAACCACTGAGCAAAACCAGCTAGGGCTATAGATCTATTTTTAATTTTTTGAGGAACCTCCTATTTTCATAGTAGTTGGACAAATGTGTATGAGAGTTCCCTTTCACATTTTCACCAGCATCTGCTGTTTCATTTTCTTGGTGATGGTATTCTAACTGATGTGAAGTGATAGCTCATTGTGGGTTTTATTTGATCTCCCTGTGACATTAAGCATCTTGTCATGTACCTGTTAGCCATTTTGGTGTCCTTTTTGGAAAATGTCTAATTAGTTCTTCTGCCCATTTTTTATTAAGTTGTTCAGGTTTGTGTGTGGTTCTTTTTTTAAACAAATCTTTATTTTTATTTTTTTAATATGTCGATTTCAGAGAAAGAGAAGGGGAGAGAGAGAGAGAAACATCAGTCACGAGAGTCATTGATTGGGTGCTTTCTGCACGGCCCCCCTCCTGGGGATTGAACCCAGAACCTGGGCATGTGCTCTGACAGGGAATGGAACCGCATTGCCTGGATCATAGTTTGATGCTCACCCGCTGAGCCACGCCACCTGGGCTGTGTTTGTTTGTTTTTTTAACTTGTTTAAAGTTCTTTACATATTTTGGATACTAAACCCTTATCCAGTATATGGTTTACAGAAAGTTTCTCCCATTCTGTAGGCTGCCTTTTCATTGTGTCAGTTGTTTCTTTTGCTGTGCAGAAGCTTTTGAGTTTGATATAGTTCCATTTGTTGATTTTTTCTTTTGTTGTTTGGGCTTTTGGCATCATGTACAAAAAAATCATTTCCAATGTAAATATTTGCTTTTAGATAGAGTGGAAGGGAGGGAGGGGGGAACAGAGAGTGAAAGAGAGGAGAGAGAAACATCAATGTGAGATACATCTATTGCCTCCTGTGCACCCTTACCGGGGCTGGGGACAAACCTGCAACCCAGGAATCTGCCCTTGACCAGGAATCATGACCCTTCGGTGCCTGGGCCAGTGCTCTAACCACTTAGCACACCAGCCAGGGGTTCCTTATGTCTTTTTCTAGGAGTTTTATGGTCTTATGTTTAGGTCTTTAATCCATTTTGAGTTAATTTCTGTGAGTGGTGTGACGTAGGATCCAATTGTATTGTTCTACATGTATTTCTCCAGTTTTCCCAGCACCATTTGTTGAAGTGTTATCCTTTCCTCATTGGGCGTTCTTGAATTCATCTTGCCTCAACTTCTGAGCATGTTCCTGCTGGCCCAGGCTGGGCTTCTCTAATCAAGCACATGCATTTTTCCCTCCAGGGCCACTTTGGGAAGGTTGAGCTCTGCAGGTATGACCCTGAAGGGGACAATACAGGGGAGCAGGTGGCTGTCAAATCCCTGAAGCCTGAGAGTGGAGGTAACCACATAGCTGATCTGAAGAAGGAAATTGAAATCTTAAGGAACCTGTATCATGAGAACATTGTCAAGTACAAAGGCATCTGCACAGAAGACGGTATGTTGTGCAAAGCAGGGTTGATTTAAAGACTAAATGACTGGGGTCATAAAGGCCAGTGCTGAGGTGGTACCCACGGCTTTATGTGGGCCACCTTGAAGGTGTGCTAGCTGGTGACCCCTATGAGCTCTAGGGCTTCTAAGTCATATGCACTGTGACATCACTCTGCAGCTACCGGGCTCCCAGGGAAGCTGCTCAGCCTCCATCCAGCCAGGGGATGACTCCAGCATTGCCTTCCCAGGCTCTTCACACACCCACACTGGGATTGATCTTCACCCGTCCAGATATTGGCATTTGGGGCACACAGGCCATATGAAACTCACACACACCTCTCCCTCATCTTCTGATCCAACACTAGCCAGGTGGTTTTGTTTTCTAGTCTAAATCAAGGTGGCAAATAGTATTTACTAATAAATGTATCTGTTTGCAAGCCAACACAAGACTCCTGTATTATACTTTAAAATTGGTAGTGAAATGATGTGGCTAATATTTTTTAAGAACTTATTTGTCTAATGGGTTGCAGCACACTCTGTATTATCTCAGTGAATGCTGATAACTCTGGGGTGGAGACACGAATGTTACAATGCCTGGTCACTGCTGAGGGACTTGCCTGTGGTTCAGGGGTGATGCTGAAATCAGTTCAGGTCCCATGTCTCCAGGTCCTGTGCCCCTTACTCTCCCACAGTTCCTCCTTTTGGTAACTGTGTACTGATGTTTTTGGGTTTTTTTTAATATACAGGAGGAAATGGAATTAAGCTCATCATGGAATTTCTCCCTTCGGGAAGCCTTAAGGAATATCTTCCAAAGAATAAGAACAAAATTAACCTCAAACAGCAGTTAAAATATGCTGTTCAGATTTGTAAGGTAAAAAATAATAATGTTGAAGATTTAAAAATCAGGCACTCGGCCTGGGTAATGGGTTTGTGATTAGACTTTGCAATAATGGTACTGAGTTTATTTTGCTCTATGTGATTTGGGTGAACAATTAGCTCTACTAAGAAACTGAACTGATTTGTTAAGTATAGCTGATTTACTGTGTATTTCTTGCAATCAGGTTGCTCTTATTATTTTTGCATAAAGTGAAAACAAAAATCAGTAATATTTGAATGAAATGTATTTTGCTATGAAGTGGTAAGTACAAAATACAGTCTGATCTGACTCTCAGCAATGCCCTCTGCCTTTATTTCTCTCCCTCAGGGGATGGACTATTTGGGTTCACGACAGTACGTTCACCGGGACTTAGCAGCAAGGAATGTCCTTGTTGAGAGTGAGCACCAAGTGAAAATTGGAGACTTCGGCTTAACCAAAGCAATTGAAACCGATAAGGAGTACTACACAGTCAAAGACGATCGCGACAGCCCTGTGTTCTGGTAACTGAGTCAGGCTTTAATTCCATCGGCGTTTTATAGGGTTTCTGCCGTTTAACATACCTAGAAAGGGCCTATGGAATGTCTCTCATTCCTCTTACCTGAGTCGGGGTTAGAAAGGACTTAGAACATATGCAATTGTTTGATCTTTGCCTTCAAGAAACGGCTTTTAGGCTCTTTCACTGAAAGCAACTCACAGAGAAATGCCTGAGGTTCGTATGACAGCTTCTTGGGAGAGGGCACTCATCTGACATGGTTCTTAAAACTGTTAGCAGTTGGGGCACCTACCCCAACTGCTAACAGTTGCAGAGGCAGCCTGAAGGGCAGGGGAGAGAAGGGCAGGAATGAGGTGAGAGTCAGCATGGAACAGATTCAAGGAGATCCTGGACAGAGCAGAGCAGAATCCATGGGAATGTGGCCATCCTCTAATGAATCACCTGAGTGCCCTGTTAGAAGGTCACACCCTGATTTCTACCCCCATCAGCCTGGAACACTGTTCAGGAGAGAAGTTGCTAAATGTCCACTCAACACCCTACCCACCCACATAAACTAATGAGCACCTGGGAGGTACAGCCTACGTAGACACAAACATGGCTCTCCCCCACCCGTGGAGACCAAACCTTCATTCGTTAAATGTGTGTCAAGACACTAACAAGCAGTCTGAGTTCAGAGTTTAATGGGTGAGGCCCCCAGTTTCATGGTACTGTAAGTATGGGGGGGGGGTTCAGGTTTGGTTTTCTGGAAGTCTTGACTCTACAAACCCCACGGATCTTTTAAGGTTTTTTAAAGATGGTTAGAAGGCAGCACGTGTGACTCACAAGATGACGCAAGAGCAGTGGCTATCCCAGGAACTGACATCAGCTCAGTGTGGCTGGCTCATAGAGTGGGAGGTCTGTCTCCAGGGGGATGAGGCAGTGCACTGGGAGGTGGGCTGCAGAGCTGGAACACCTCCCGGGAGCTCTGGGAGGCCATTGGGGGTTTTAGGATGGGGACTTTTGTTTTAAAAACTACGGGATGGAGAAGAGTAAGATTGGAACCAGAGAATCTGATTTGGCTGTAGCCAGTGGTGGTGTGAACTAGGACAGTGACAGTGGGGCTTAGGAGAGGTGAATAGGTTTGCAAAGCACTTAGGCAATCAGATATGGGGATGCCTCAGTTCCTGGCATAGGCATTTGGGTATCGTTCATTAAGACAGCTGACACTGGAAGAGGACTGGGCAGTAAGGTCACTGCTGACTCATCCTGAGCTTGCAGGCAAATAAAATCTGGGCCTGTCATGTGCTCCCCTCCCTCCACATGGAGAGCACAAACTTACCTTACGATTGTTTTTGGAGCAAATATGTACTGAAGACAGCAGTGTCTATGTGATTAATACATACATGCTTAGAATATTAAATTCTAAGAAAAACCAAAGAGGTTGTTTTTGTTAGTTACTCTGTAAGGTCCTTATTTGTTGCCATATCCTTCCCAGGAAATGAAGTTTCATGTTCTTTCTTTTAGGTATGCTCCGGAATGTTTAATTCAGTGTAAATTTTATATCGCCTCTGACGTCTGGTCTTTTGGAGTGACTCTGCATGAGCTGCTTACTTACTGTGATTCAGATTCCAGCCCCATGGCCGTAAGTTGTATTGTCTCTTCATTTGAGCCTAGCACCCAATTAAAACATGTCCATCCTTCAGCTTTGTAAGTTTTGTTCTTAAATGGAATCCAATTCATGTATTACAATGAAAAGGGAATATGTTGCTTTTCATTTTACTTGGTTTGTTCCTTGACAGTTGTCACTCTCTCAAGTCCTGCTTTCCCTAGGAGCCCAAAGTTCTTTAAGATAACCCTGACTTTCAAGGGTCTAATGTGTGTGAAAGAGCACTGCATAGCCGCCTTGTCTGAGCCTCAGGTATTTGTAAATGAGGTCGTTCTCACTGGAAAAGGCTCTGCGACCAGGAGTGGTTGGTTGAGTCTGAGTTTGCAGACTGGTCATTGAGAGCTAATAAGGGTTTTGGACTTTCATTTAAAATTACTAAAGAGAAAAGCCTTTTTATTTGTAATTTCCAGTTAATTCTAGAAATTTCACCTTCATCTGTTTGATGTTTATGTGGTTTTATTTTACATAGCTGTTCCTGAAAATGATAGGCCCCACTCACGGCCAGATGACAGTAACAAGACTTGTGAATACGTTAAAAGAAGGAAAACGTTTGCCTTGTCCACCTAACTGTCCAGATGAGGTACGTACTAATGGGTTGGGGCACTTCACAGTTAGAGTCGTCCAGCAAGAAAGGGCTGGGGGTGGGGAGAGCAGGAACGAGTAGAAAATGCCTTTAAAATTGTTTTCTGAAATGGAATTTCAGATAAGATTTGAGAAATCATCTTTGGGCCAGATGACAGCCACAAATTATGTTCAAAGCAAGGATTCCTTCCAAATAGGCTCACCTCAGAAAGTACCCCAAAGGAGCCTATTTTGGTATAGCCTTATTGTGAGAAATACATATAATTGCATTTTTGTGTAGTTCATCCCATTTATGATGTCAGTTTTCTGTATTCTAAAGTGAATCGAGCCTTTAAGACTAAGATGTACTGAACAGTGTGAGTTACAGAGTAAAGCACCTAGTGCAGAAATTTAGAGTCGAAACTGAAATATAACTTCACCCTTAAATTGGTTTACGGTAATTAATGACCTGGATTTTTTGAAGGTCATTTAACCCATGAGCTTCTCAAAACATAATTTATGAGTTATAGTTGTGACATTTCTGTATTTTAAATCATTCAAATACTCTTGTTACCTAAAGGGAAGTTATTTACATTTCCTTGACATGTCTATAATTGATTTTACAGGTTTATCAACTTATGAGAAAATGCTGGGAATTCCAACCATCTAATCGGACAACCTTTCAGAACCTTATTGAGGGATTTGAAGCACTTTTAAAATAAGAAGCATGAATAACATTTAAATCCCCCGGGTTATCAAGTCCTTCTCCCCCCAAAATACCCAAGCCATTTAAAAATTTTTTAATGGAAAAACTTTGTATTCTGTCTGAAACGATACTTGGGTACGTATCCATGTATAAGGCACGCTGTGGTGCCTCATGTGTAAGTACTTCTCTTTGTCACTGTTACTGGTGCCAAATTTAATGACAACCAAAATATGAGCAAGCATTCCTCCTTTTGGAATGGAGATACCACCATTTCATCAGGCTGGTTTATCATTACAGTTGTGTACCAGAATGGGAATTTTCAAAACAAAAATNCTTACCAGAATGGGAATTTTCAGAACAAAAATCTCAAGATGATTGCTTTCTCCTAGCTGCCAGTTGATTTTAAGTGTTTTTCTGGCACATAAAGATGAATGGATTTAGCCGATACTCTAAACATGCCCTAAAATTTCATCATCTATACAGTGATTGATAGAGAAAAGCATTCTTGAAATAGTATATACCAGTTAGTATACTATTTGGACTTAAACTTTGAGTTGTTTCTCCAGTGGCTTAGCTCCTGTCCCCTTAGGTGACCAGCGGTATCCTTTTTAAAATTTTTTTTGAGAAAACTGGTTGTAGCCAGGGGACAGTGTGGAATAGATCCTTTGCTGCATGATAATTCTTGAGAACTAAGCCTGTGCTTTCCTAAACAGTATACCTTTAATTCCAAGAACCTGGATGCTATTATACATGCTTTTAAGAAATGTCAATGTATATCCTTTTATGACTCTACCACTTTGGGGCAAGCTATTCCAGCACTCGTTTTGGATGCTGCTGTATGCAACCAGTCAATATATACCACATCCACTGCACTGTTCTTAGAGTCTTTCAGTACTTACCATCTGTCTGTAAGAGTCAGTATTTTGACTATTGTCCTATGGCAGCGATTTTCAACCTTTTTCATCTCGTGGCATGCCAAAATATATATTTTTTGCCAATCTGACAAAAAATAGGTGAAGTTTTGATTCATTCTTTTTGTTTGACAATCTAAGGGAAAAGAGGTCAATGCCCATTAGTCAGGTATTGAATGTTTTAAAAAAAAATTCTTGTGGGACACTGGTTGAAAATCGCTGCCCTTTGGCATAAAGACTTGAAAGAAAAGATGTGCTAGAAGCACTATGGAGTTCAGGATCCACTAGGCAGTTTTCAGTTTGCTTGGCAGTAGCTGGGTAAATGTCTACTCTCTGATTCAATGTGAACCGTAAGATCTTTATGACCAAGAGTCTGAAAAATGTTTTGTTAATGCTTCCTAGCATTTATTTGGCATCATCATTTTTCACCTTTTGAGCCTGAAAGAGTTCTGGATTGATGCAATGGCAACAATAAACTTGCCATTTAAATTTGTTCAATAACCATACATTACCAAGGTGTCTGTCTGAAACCTGTGGCCATTCTATATGCACTTTGTTTACTCTTTATACAAATAAATATACTAGAGACGTCACATGCATATGCCTTTTAATATTAAGACTCCATTTTCAAAGCATTTCAAACAGCTTGTTTACTTAGAAAAATAACAATATGGTCTTTGGGAAGGGTCCTTATTACTAGCAACACTAGATTTGTACTTATCTGTTATGTCCAATGACAGTGGGGCACAGGCCAGTACAGATGGCAGATCCACATGTGCTGTAATCCAAAACACCTTCTAGTTCTTTCAACCTCTTCCCGAAGCTCTGAATTAAAATTCACCGTCTCCCTTTTCTTCTGCTTGTACTATCAGAGGTGTGACTAAGCACTAAAGAAGCTTAACGCAGAGCATGGAGAATCCTTTATTCACCTGCTGAGTCATACATAACTGAGTGATGCCTATCCCGATCGGTTACTCATAGGTAGTATCCTTTGTAGTTTAGCTTTCTAACTGTCATTTTCCAAAAGTTAATATATGCAATAAATTAGACCAAGTAATATTCTTTACAAATCATACAACATATGTACCAATTTTTAACTTCATAGTTAAAACAGGATAGATACCTTATATCATGGTCAAAAATAAGTCCCCCAAATTACAAGATATTGAACGATCTGAGTTCAAAAAGATTAGGCTCACTGAGACCCCTAAACTCTAACATCAATTACAGCCTCAAAATGAGGAACAAACATAGATATTTCTAGATGATGGGTTTCTCATGCATTTAATACCAAAGTCGTCAGGAAATGGTGATGTCAAAAGTGATATGCAATAGACAATTTTTTAGCCTAACATACTACAAAAGAATAAGAGACAAAGCAGAGAGTGAGGTAAAGCTTATTAGCTGAAAATGGTTATAAATACTGTTACTCCATAAGACTCCTTCAGAAAGGACAGTATTGACTGCTTTATTGTGATATTGTGGAAATAGCACATTTAATGATCAAAATATGCCCTGTTCTAGAAATTAGATCATTATTAGACAGAAATCCAAGTTCCTTGCCACTTAATTCAGCTGCAAAAGTTAATGGTCTTTCTTTAGGGAACTAGTACTTTTAGATCAGGGGTCAGCAAACTTTCTCTGTGAAGGGCCAGATAGTAAATATTTGAAACTCAGACAATACGTAAGTGAATAAGCATGGTTGTGTTCCAGTAAAATTTTATGTGTGGACATAGATTTGAATTTCATATAATTTTAAAGTTATAAAATTTTCATTTTTCCTCCAACCACTTAAAAATGTAAACATCATTCTTAGCTTGTAGTCTGTACAAAAACAGGTGGAGGACTGAATTGAACCCCAGGGTGTGGTTTGCCACCCCCTGAAATTAGATCACCAAAGCTACTTCTCTTAAAATACCTTGTTTTTCACAAAAGGCATAAATGGTTCATAACATACTGAGAGCACAGACTCTGTGGTAATGTATCCCAGACATCGTTATCACTCAGGTGTGGGTTTTATAGTACATGGCTGGTGTGGGCGTAATAATTTAGTTTGCATGTAGAGCATCTATTTTTAAACATTACCACTGCTGCATTTTGTACTTGTATTCTTGTAGTTCTAAAAATCTATAAACGATTACTTCTAGGGAAAGTAAATAGAAATACACACTGGCTTGTAAGAAACTTTCTTCTAAGGCCCAGGAAACAAGACCGTTTCCCATTTATTGCTTCAAACTTTTATATATGGTGTCAAAATTATTCCCAGTCCTAAAACAATAGTGTTCATTTCTATGATGGACTGTAAGTTAATACCATATTGATTGAGATGCATCTAATCCTATTGGAAAATGTCCCCAATTGATGTCTCTTCTTATTGCTACTTACTTTTTATTTGGCAATTCTGCCTGCTGCACAACACATTTCCTTCTGGGAAATTATAAACCCGTATTTAAAAGGATATGGCTAGTATGAATGTAGTTAAGGCAGCGATGAACAGCAGAGATACTGCAAAGAACCTTAGGAGGTTATGTAAGGAGAGAACTTAACTCAGTACACGCGCTTCTTTTTTAAGTAGGTCTCCATGTAATGTGCTCCAGTGCCCTGAGAATGCTGGTCAACAAGTTCCACGGAACCTCCTTCTGGGGCAGAGATGAGATAAGATGAGCCTCGCTTTTCATTTCTTAAAGACACCTATGAGAAAAAGAAATCATAACTAATGCTAAAATCTAAATTACAGTTGGTTTATTTGTTAAAGATGTGTATAAGAAAAGCCATTCTACTTCTGCTTTGGTGTAAAAACAGCAGCAGGATAAATAACAAAGCTATCAAAAATTGCACAAACTAGATTTTATGTCAAACTTTTGCAAAATACAAACCAGTCTCCAAGTGCCCTCCGCCCCCACCAGCCTCCACATTTTGGGGAAACAAAGACACTGCAGTTGCATCTGCCGTTTGTACCTAGTTCAACCCCTCTGACTCATAGCTGTTCCCCTTGCTCAGAGGAACACTGATAAGAAATTAAGCTGCGTATCAAGTTAGATGTTAAATTCATCTAGTAAACAAAGTAGCAAGAGAATAAACTAGGAGGTGTAAAAACTGGCAAAAGATGTCAATGAAAATTACAATGATGAAATTCTAGAGAGCAAATTCTAGAGAGCAATGTGAATTCAAACTTTAGGAACTGCCTTAAAATGCAGATTTCCAGGCTGCATCACAGATTCTGATCTGGAAGTGTTTGTATAACCACCCCATGAGCTCCTAATTCCTCTTAGTTTTAGCTTTCACAAATATTAAATGTGACAATCTTATTGCAGAATTGTGTAATTTAATGACTCATAAGGAAAACATCAATACAGAAGAGCCTTCTCACATTACAATTAAAATTGCAGCTTCAGAGGGGACAAAGGAGTCTGTCACAACTCCTTTTAGAAAAGTTCTCATTCATGTTGAGAAGGATATGGAGGAGTTGACCAGCATAGTGACAGAAGAGGCTACTGAGTGCCCCCTTCCACGGACTCACCACATGTACAGCTACACACGGAGCAGTTCCTTGTGATAAGAGATCCAGAAACTAGTTGAATTACTACTACACATTGGACACAGAGAAAATGCCCACATGGAAATGGGTAGGAGAGGCTGACATACACACTTGCCATAACCTCAGCACAGTACCATACAATTGGGAGGGAGCCCTTAACTTCTAGCTCTGAGGAGTGAAGGGTTTGGATTTCACATCTAGTGCCTCAACTTTTACCAAAACACCTAGCTGTGAAAGCCAGCAGGTGTCCACGAGATCCACAGACTAGCAAACAAAGCAGCAATGGGTGTATGAACAGTCACTGTGGCTGTCCTCTCAAGGCCCAATGCAGAGGGACCAGGCAGACTCGTCTCCCAAGTCTTTCCCTGAAAGAGGTTTATTTCTGTACCTTAAAGGCTGCTGAGGGCCAGGCTTCTAATCTAGCAGGCCCGAGGAGCTGCTTGTGATTTTCCCCTCAGCCCAGGGAAGCTGGAGGACATACGTTCCACCTTCTTCCAATCGAAGTCACTAGTATGTCTGGGGAAGGAGCTTGTACACACATCTGTGCCTGAGCTTTGGCTGACACCCAAGAGATGTCCCCCAGATCACCTAGCCTTGGTAGCCATTGGTGCTTTCATTCATGAGTCCCACAGGACTGTAACAATTTCTAATGGGCACAGAAGAAAAGGCCAAGCAAATTGAAGCAGGTCAGTGGAATTCCTCCACTTAGGGTTATAAAGAAAAAAGAATAAAAAATAATACTGTAAATCCTAGCCAGAACAATTAGCAAGAAAAACAAAGAAAAGGTATCCAAATCATTAAGTAACATTGCCTATTTGCATATGACATATTATATATAGATACCTTAGAGGCTCCATGAAAAAACTGTTAGATCTAATAAACAATTTCATTAAAGTTGCAAGATACAAATCAGGTGCATTTCTATAAACAATGAAGTTTTCAAAAAAATTAATTCTATATAATAGATCAAAAACAATAAAATACCTAAGGGTAAATTAAAAGTAGACACAATAAATAGCAAGATAGTGTTCGGCCCTACCAGGTGTGGCTCGGTTGGAGCGTTGCCCCACACACCAAAAGGTGGTGGGTTCGCTTCCCAGTCAGGTCTTGTGTAGCAACCCAGGTTGTGGGTTCGACCCCTGGTTGGGGTGCAGGCTGGGAGGCAACCAACTGATGTTTCTCACATTCTCTCCCCCCCTAAAATCATTTTTAAAAAAAAGGTATTCAGTGTTCAGTAATTAATATTGTTAAAATGTCCATACCACCCAAAGCAATCACTATGAAAATTCAAATGGCATTTTCACAGCAGTGGAATAAACAGTCCTAAAATATGGAACCCCAAAAGACTCAAATCTTGAAAAACACACACCAAAAACCCAAAGCTAGAGACACCACTCTTCCTAATTTCCGACTGTATTACAAAGCTATAGTAATAAAAACAGTATAGTACTGGCATAAAAAGACACAAATCAATGGAACAGAGTAGAGACCAGAAATAACCCATGCAGGTATGCTCATGTAATTTATGACAGGGTAGCCAAGAATATACAATGGGTAAGGACAGTCTCTTCAATAATGGTGCTGGGAAAACTGAACAGCCACATGGAAAAGAAGAAAACTGACCCCCATCTTATGCCACACATCAACATTAATTCAAAGTGGGTTAAATACTTGAACATAATGTGCTAATCTCTCATATATGCTATATATGAGAGATTTTTTTGTTAATATCACAAAATGAAATATATTGGTTTAAAAACATTTTTTAACGGGAAATTTATATTTAAATACAATTTTAGAAATTAACTGTGCTTAATGAAGAAAAGAGAATCAAGTTAATTTATGTTTCTCTTGCTGTGAAGTCCAAAAGCTGAACCTGAAACTGTAAGAAAGGGATGTTAAGGGTTTGAGATTCCAGAATGACTGGTGGAGTAGTCCTTTTAGGTTCTCCATGCAATCTGACTCCGCTAAAGAGGCAAAACTTAGAAAAGGTAAAATGGGGCTAAAATCATGTCTTATAGAAATGTGTACTTGAAACCTATATGATCTTAACAACCAATGTCACCCCAATAAATTAAAAAACAACTTGGCGATAAACACAAAATGGTTCTAGAAATAAGAAAAAAAAGTAATGAGGGTAAGTTAAATTTCAGAAGTTTGCGTCTCTTAATTACAATTTTTAGCAAAAATCATTTATTAAAAGTGCTTTCCAAGTTGCTGTCTATGAAAAATAATCTGTGGTTTCATAATGATTGTTTAAAGTGTGTTTAGGTTTTTAAAAATATTTTATATAGTTTGTTACAAGATTGGGATCTATCCCAGTCCACGCAAAAATCTTTTTGTCAAGGTTCACTGCACTATTTTCCCGCTAGATGGCAGCATTAGGCGCTATATGAAAGGACTAAGCATCATGAGGTCCTTTCCTTCCTTTTCTGTTTCCTCTTCCCTCATCACACATTCTGTGGCTGATTCACTAGAAAAGGCAGCCAGCTTCCTGGCAGGAAAGATGCCTTGTTAACCAAGAGCAACCTGAGATTACAGCCCCCAGGTAAACAGTATTCTAATGGGCAGCACAGCAGACAGCAACCTAAATGGACAAGCATCCCTGACCATTTCCTTGGCTTTTGTCACCTGGAAATATAATCAGCATACAATCAATGCCCTCATCTAAGTCATTACTTAAAACGTTAACTAATAAGGGAAAAAAGATGGAGCTTATGAAACATACAAGAGAGTGCCTTCCAGGTTGTACCAATTCATGATTACTGTTCCTTAAATATAAGCATGTTGCTACCTAATTACCTAGATTTCTCCACAGGTATACAAGAGACCCTATTATATACTGTGCTAATAGCCAGCTGCACCGTTTCGACGGTCTATCTGACCTGTGTTTGTAGTCCCCTATCATAAAGCATCCTTAGGCATCGACGGTTCTAAATGAATTCACATTGGGTTTCTTTTCTAAGTTTATTAGAGACAGATGACACAATCGCAGAGTTGCTCCCAGGAAATCAGTGGAAGCACTGGTCCCACAGACAGGACGGAGCTGAGAAGAAGCTGCCTACTCTGGGAAATTGGAAGGAATCGGAATTGTAAATCATAAACCTCTCGTGATCACATACTGCTAGCGAGACAATACTCAGATTAAGCCACAAAGAATAAGCTGAAGGGAAAAAAGAGCAAAAATGACATAAGTAGGTAACGGTACATCTCATGCATACAATACTTTTCATGTTATTGACTGTTTGGTTGAAAAGTTAGCATAACAGTGCCTGTAATGATCATCATGTTTCTACATATGTGAGCACTGCTGAAGAACAGGCATTTCCTTGGGTTTCTTAGTCAGGTTTACACTGGTGTCAATCAGAGGTCAGCAGAGTTTTTCTGCAGAGCGCTACACTGTAAATGTTTAATCTTCCAGCCATATAGTCTCTATTGTAACTACTCAACTCTGCACAAGGTGCAAATGAATGAATCCAGCAGTACTCCAGTAAAACCTTATTTACTAAACAGGTTGTGGGCTGGATTTGGTCTGTAGTTTGCCAACCACTAGTGTAAACAATGACTGATAAACAGTGCAAAATGATACTTAATCTCTTGAGTGTGTCCAAAAATTCCAAATGGTGAGCGAGAAATGCTGTGTAGATCAGTGCAATTTTAATTTCCTGTGATATTACAGGATTCACGATTTCATATTCAGTGAACTCAATATATAGTTGAACCATTTTTCTATATAGCCTCAAAATCTGAAACTCATTTACCTGTGCGTAATCACCAAAAGGCTGAGAGTAAGCAGTGCACTTTTCCAACGTGTGTTGTGATTCATTTCCCTGAGAGATTGCCTCCAGAATGTTGCTTGCAATTCCAGTCTTCTGCAGAGTGGTTTTACTTGCAGGGGCTACAGGCAAAATCAATACTTAGGTTTTAGTTAGGTTGCTTTATTATTAATTATAAACAGATTACACAACTCATTAATTCAGCATATTTTCAAATAGAACACAAATTTTAGTTTTCCAGTATACACAGGGTGTCCCAAAAAAAATGTATGCACTTTAACCAGCTGATAGTTCAATTTCAAAATTGAAATGTCTTTTAGTAAACATTGCCTTTATAATTATTCAAAGTGTGTGTATACATTTTGGGGCGATACCCTATATGTCTATATTATGCCCAGGGGGCAAAACATATATGATATTGTCTTACTCATTTAAAACAACTGAATGAATAAATGAAAGTTTGCCCTGCAGGTAAATCATTTTGGTGGAAACATTTATAAAATATATGTCCAGCCCAGCCGGCGTGGCTCAGTGGTTGAACATCAACCTAGGATCCAGGAGATGGCAGTTCGATTCCCAGTCAGGGCACACGCCCGGGTTTTGGGCTTGATCCCCAGTGGGGGGTGTGCAGGAGGCAGCCGATCAATGACTCTCTCATCATCGATGTTTCTATCTCTCCTCCATCTCCCTTTCTCTCTCTGAAGTCAATAAAGATATATTTAAAATACATACATACATACATACATATATATATATATATACACATGTCCAATCTCCAAAACAAGGCATTCAAAATGTAAATAAACCATTCTTGTTAATGTAATAGTTGTAACTCTCAATTTTTAGACCAGATAAAAATACTGTAGGTATACTAAAAGCACATTAAAATTATGTCTGGCTTTTAAAAAAATAGGAATTAACGTTTAGATTCAAGAAGATACTTAATCAAATAAAAGAGAATGCACATTAAAAACAAAATTCATCTTTCATCTCTTTTCATTCAATCCTATTCTTTTTCCCAGAGGTGACAGTTTAGACTTTATTTTCCCAGTTTACTTTATGCATTTACACATTCAAGTGTGTACATGTAAGAATATATAGCTTCAAATAAACAAATGGAATAATTTTATATATACATTTACTTTTTCCACTTAATTTGTTTAGAGATCAGTTCACATTAGTCCATATAACACTCAGTTACTTAAAAAAGTGTTTCAGTGTTCCACTTTATGATGAACTGTTTAACCATTCCCCTTTTGATAGACCTGAAGACACTTTCCAGTTTTTCACTATTGACAACCAATGTTCTAGAATATCCTAGTGCAGAGTATACCACATTTGTGATTTCCTCTTAAGCTGTTAATTTACACTAACTGAAGGCCTGAGGAGATCTCAAAAGAGTAAATGAGGATTCCATTTTTGCCAATTAGTAGCTCATATGTTTTTGGTATATTTTGCTAGTACTCCAGATATATTAAATTACTTAGAAGTTTAAACCTCTATTTTAGAAATATTCTATATGTAAAGAATTATAATATTGCCAAATAATTTTTGCCCCATTATTTTTAATCATGCTTCAATAATAATTCAATAAATTGATTATATTCTTAATAAAATATTATAAAAGATATCTTCCTTAAAGTAGAATACATTTGAAGTGTTAATTTTAATTGTTCTTTCATTTCAAAGACTGGGGTCATAATTTAGGCTTTAATTGGTCAAGAGACATGATTTGCTTCTATTAAGTTAAAAACTGAAGTAAAATTCATTATGAAAAGTATTCAATAAAACTCCAATATATTAATACTGAGTTCTCACTTACATGATAAGCACACACTGGGCAACACACTTGCCAAGTTCAAGTATGGATTTTTACTGAGCCGAATTTCTTTTGGTGGTTCTCCCAAGAGTGAAGTCTGATTCTTAGAGGCAGCCTATTTACCAAAAACCAAAGAGCGGAGCTTAAAAATGCAGAAACAATAAAGAAATACTTATTCTTCAATAAATCTAGTGGAAACTGAAGATATGAAATTATGAAACATTTCTGGATACTGATTAAAGTTACCACATTTCACCTATTATTTTTTTCAGTAAGTTTTAAAAAAAAACCTATTCTGGCCATGGACACAGACAATAGTGTGGTGAAGGCTGGGGGAGGGGGAGAGGAGAAAAAGGGGGACATCTGTAATACTTTCAACAATAAAGATAAATTAAAAAAAAAACTATTTTAGAACCATGGAACTTTAGAACTGAAAGACAAAGGCCATCTTGTACAACCTTCTCATATGAACTAAGATAATTCATCTTCACAAGAAAATACAAATTCCATACCTTATTTCCAGAAACAAAGTTATCAATATATATTTTTAGAAGTACATTTAGTAAATGGAACCAGGCCTGAAACCTTTCTTAACAGTTATATTGCCCAGAATAATGCCCTGGACCAAATGGCATCACTGGAGAATTCTACCAAACATTTTAAGAGGAATTAACACCAACCCTCCTCAAACTCTCCCATAAAATTGAAAAAGAGGGTTGCCCAGCCGGTGTGGCTCAGCAGCTGAGCATCAACCTATGATCCCAGAGATTGGGGTTTGATTCCAGTCAGGGCACATGCCTGGGTTGTGGGCTTGATCCCCAGTGTGTATCTCTCTCCCCCTCTCCCTTCCTCTCTCTCTGAAATCAATAAAGATATATTTAAAATTAAAAAAAAAGGCTCACCCACTTAAAAAAAAACTGAAAATGAGGGAATACTTCCTAACTCAGTCTATGAGACCAGCATTGCCCTAGTACTAAAGTCAGACAGGTACTACAAGAAAACTACAATATTGATGCCTTATCAATATTGATGCAAAACCATAAACAAAACACTAGCAAACCATCTGGCAGGACAGTATTATATACCATAACTGGCTGGGATTTTACAAAAATAATTCAATGTAACACATCACATTAACAGAATGAAGGGAGGGAAAAAAACACATGATCATCTCAGTTGATGCAGAAAAAGCATTTGACAAAATTCAACACCCTCAACAAACTAGAACTAGAAGAAAACTACCATAACATAAGTCATATATGAAAAAACCAATATTATACTCAACAGTGAAAGACTGAAATCTTCCCAAGACCAAGAATAAGATGAAGATGCCTTCACCACTTTTGTTCAACACAGTATTGGAAATTCTAGCCAGGACAATTAAGCCGGAAAAATGATATAAAAGGCATCCAAATCAGAAACAAAAAAGTAAAATTATCTCTGTCTGCAGATGATATAAAAAAAGATTATACAAAAACTGTTAGAACTAATAAATGAATTTCAGGATACAAAAAACAATATGTAGCCCCAATCAGTGTGGCTCAGTTGGTTGAAAGTTGTCCCATGCACCAAGAGGTCACTGGTTCAAGATTTCCAGTCAGGGCACATGCCCAGATTGTGGGCTCTATCCCTGGTGGGGGATGGGCAGGAGGCAACCGATCAATGTTTCTCTCTCTCTCCCTCTCTCTCTAAATAAAAACATATTTAAAAAAAATCAACATGCAGAAACCATTTATGTTTTTTTACACTAACAAAGAATACAATAAGAAAACAATTGCAGTAGAATAAAATACTAAGGAATTAATCAAGGAGAAATACTTGTACACTGAAAACTACAAAACATTGTTGAAAGAAGTTAAAGACAAGTGAATGAAAAGACATCCCATGTTCATGGATTGGAATACTTAATACTGTTAAAATGTCAGTACTACCCAAAATGATCTACAGATTCAATAATCCCTATCAATGTTCCAACCTTTTTGCAGAAAAAGAAAAACCCATCCTAAGATTCATATGGAATATCAATGGACCCCAAAAAGTTGAAACAATCTTGAAAAGGTGAAAAAAGAAACAAGAATGGAGGGCTCACACTTTATGATTTCAAAACTTACTACAAAGCTACATTAATCTCAACAGTGTGGTACTGGCATAAAAACAGACACACAGACAAATGGAACAGAATAGAAAGCCCAGAAATAAATCCCCACATACTATGATTAAATGATTTTTAATGAGTGTCAAAATTATTCAATGGGGAATGGACAGCTTTTTCAACAAAAATGCTGAGAAACCTGGATATCCACATGTAAAAAATGAAGTAGATCCTTACCTAACACCATATACAAAAATTAACTCAAAATGGACCAAGGACCTAAATGTAAGAGCTAAATCTATAAAACTAAAAGGAAAAGCTTAGGTAGAAAGCGTTATTATATTAAATATGGAAATGATTTCTTGGATATGACACCAAAAGCAAAAGAAAAAGATCTATGTTGAGTGACAAAACAAGCCTTAACAAATTTAAGAATACTGAAATCATATCAAGCATTGTTCTGACCACAGGGGTATGAAACTAGGTATCAGTAACAGGAAAAAAAAAAAAAAAAGGAAAATTCAGATATGTAGAAATTAACTCACTGCTAATGGGTTAAAGAAGAAATCAAAGGCAAAGGCCCTTAAAACAAATGAAAATGGAATCACAACATACCAAAGGTTATGGGATGTAGCAAAAACAGTTCTAAGATGGAACTGTATTGTGGTAAATGCCTACGTGAAGGAAAAAAGTAAACAACCTAACCTGACACTTCAAGGAACTAGAAAAAGAACAAACTATACCCAAAATTAGCCAAAGAAAAGAAATAATATTAATTAGAGTAGAAATAAATAGAGAAGAAAACAAAGATCAAGAGAACAAAGGATTAGTGTTTTGAAAAATAAACAGACTAACTTTTAGCTAGACTAACCAAGAGCAAAAGAGAAAGGACTCAAAGTTATAAATGAGAGGAGACATTACAGCTGATACCACAGAAATACAAAGAATCATAGAAACTATTATCAAGAAATACATGCCAACAAACTGAAATTAGACTATCAAACTGAATAGACTATCAGAAATGTATCAAGCCAGAAAACCAGGCAAGTGTCCCAACCAGGAATCAAACTGGTGACCTCTTGGTGCATGGGAAGACACTCAACTGAGCCACACTGGCCAGGGCTATAGTAACAGTTTTTTAAAAAGTGCAATATTTTCTTCTAGTTTGTGAAGTGTACACTATGAAAAAGCCATCATGTCTTTGACATTCTAGCAATTATCTAGTTTGTAATCTATATTTTATACTTTACATTATTAACTTTCTTTGACATTTAAAAGTAGTTGATTGCTTTATACTTCATAAATTATATCACCTGTAAAATAATTAAAAATTATGATATTCTAGAATTAGAATAACCTAATTGAAGATAAAATTTAAAAGAACATAGATATACATATATATATATTACATACATTATATATATACATGTAGCGTTCACCTGCACTATTTGCATAAGCATCCACACAGTTTTCTTACTCCTGAACTCACCTCTGAGCCTTTTGGCTGACTCTGTTGTTGCTTCTGGTGTCCTGTCAGCAAACCTCCAGCAGTAAGGTTTGGAAAGCTCTGAAGATAAGCCTGTGACCCTGAGAAATTTCCTTCTGCTACTCCCACGGAGGCTGGCTGTTTCTCCTGAGTATTTCCATGCCCTGGCCCAGCTTGTCCAGTAATGTGCTGATTTGGAAAGAAAGGTAATATGCCCATTCCAGCTGTTATGGTTGTTTGAGTTGGAATCAGATTAGATGCTGTAGGGAACCACAAATGCAAAAAATTTTTGGTTAGACAGACTTTTTCACAATAGTCCTTTTGATTTTAAGTTAGAGGCAAAATGCAAATAAACGTTTTTAACTTATTGGAGAACAAAAGGTGAAGGTGAGGTTGAGGTTGTAAATTAGCAGGGAATTAGTATGGGAAAACAAAAACGGATAACAGGAATCATGCTTTTCTTAAACAACTTCCAGAATAGTCTCAAGGATATGATATTTTTTAATTCTAACTTTTAACTGTATATTTTAAAAGTTGAGTGCAGAATTTATGTACTTTTTGGCATTTTAGTGATAGTGTTTTTTTAATGCCCAATCACTGCAATTTGTCTGTTTCCATATCTGAAGGTATAATCAGTCTTCAGTTTAAAAAATTCTCTGACACTTAAAAATTGATAAAATTAGATTAGCTCAACAATAAACTTGGTCAGCCAACTTGCACCAGTCCATCTCTTCCCAGCTCTCCAGTTCTATGTCTTCATGTTGGCAACTTGAATCAACCACGGTTGGAGTGTTTACACAAAGGAGTCACAAATCCTACAAATCAAGACTTTCTTAACCTAGAGCGCTAGTGAGCTATTTTAAACATCAGCACACTATTACTTAAAAAAATCAATATTTGTTAATAGATAAGCACCAAATTTAACACATGGAAGTTTTACATTTTTATTTATAGAGTATAACAAGGAATTCTGTGGGAAAATGATAGTTTTAATAGGCAAATTCTGAACCATTCCACTTTTTGAAAGTCTATAGGTCAAAATTAAATAAAAGGGGCTCTTTCAAGTCCAGTTTATATTTTACAAATTCACTAAACAAATTTCTGAAATTATTTTTAGTATTATATACTTAGAGATGAATACTTTAGTTTTATATTTAGCAATATAGTTATTTGAACACTGAATTTTCGGTGTTTTTTATGCAGCACATGCTAAAGGGCTTATTATTTAATCCAACACAAATAATAAACATCTGCATAAGCTTTTAGGCATACAAAATTTAATTTTTAGGACAGACCCCTTCATACCATAAAAATTTCTATACCTGTCTACGTAATGGTTTAACTTTTGCCCAGTCAATACCAACAATCAGAACTGATTGAGTTATTTTTAAATATATCTTTATTGATTTCAGAGAGAGGAAGGGAGAGGGAGAGAGGAAGCGAGAGGGAGAGAGAGATGGAAACGTCAATGATGAGTCACTGATCGGCTGCCTCCTGTGCGCCCCCTGCTGGGGATGGAGCCTGAAACTCAGGCANATGATGAGTCACTGATGGGCTGCCTCCTGTGCGCCCCCTGCTGGGGATGGAGCCTGAAACTCAGGCATGTGCCCTGCCCGGGAATCGAACAGTGATTTCCTGGATCCTAGGTCAATGCTCAACCGCTGAGCCACACCAGCCTGGCTGATTGAGTTATTTAATCATTTCACTTGTTGGTTTTATGTACAAGATATATATGTTACCCACCTATATTTTTAAATTTTAATAATGGTGGCCCTTTTTTCCCTCAACATGCTTGCTTCAAACAAATTTCAATTAACTTGCAAACGGAAAGCATCTTTCAAAGTCATATTCAAGTAAGAAATCATGGTAACCACCATGCTCCTGTTCTTTTAATAAAAATTGTACACATATTATGTTTCTTCTAACACTAATTTGGGGATCACATTTTTAAAAAATGATACAAATAGATAAACTTTAAATTTACCAAAAAATAAAGCTTTTTAAAAAAATAAAAGCTCAGGGTTTCTGATCCAGGCAAAAAGTCAGTGGATGCCCGCGCAGTGTGTTGTCAGCCCGCTGGGCAGCCTGTCGGCCTCCGGTGGATGTGTGTCTGCCTCGTGCTGCTGAGAACCTTCATCGATATGAAAGCTTGTCCCACAGGGAACGCCGCATCCTGGCACGGGAGCAAGTCGGTCAGGAACTTGTCAATAGTTTTCTAATATTGAAAACAGAAAAGCTAAAAGGGCTCTCTCTGGGAATTTTAAACGACGGCATAAAACTCAAATGTGACCTTCCTGTGAGACGTAGACTACCGGTCAACCATCTTTAAGCCTCAAGTCTGTCTGCTGGCGTCCCAGGGAACACCCATCACTTACTTTTATGCGCGTCCCCGTGGTGGCCCAACTCCGTCTTCAAGGGCAGGGCTGGCCCGAGCCCCACTGCGCCCTGAAGCACCATGGCCGGGGGTTCGCCGAGCAAGCCCGGTTTCTGCGAGGAAGGAAAGGCAGGCAGGCTTTTGCCAAAAGCAGCAGGGTGACTGAACTAAAAGGCTAGCAAGTGAAAATTCAACCTGACCCACAGCCTGATTACAGCGAGAAAAATGAACTCACTGCGAAGAAAACACAACTCCACACTTACGTTATTAGTATGAATATTCTCAAACTTCATTAACTGTTGCTGTGCCAGTGGTACGTGGGAAAGGTTCTGAAGGAACAAATTAGAAGTATTACCCATAATTGAGCTCTGTGAAAAATGTAAAACATTAAGTTAGTTTAATTTTTAAAAGCTGCTTATTGTATAACCCAACTCATATAGTTCAATTCTCAGCGATCTGAGCAACAGCAGAGGCTTCTTTGTATCTCACTTTTCAACTTCAGGCAACACTAATTCATTCTTGTATAATACACAAGATGTGACCACACGGTCATGAAATGAACTCCACATCCTCTCCTCTTCCTCCCCTCCCCTCCCCTCCCCCTCTCCGGCCTTAAGGTCAGCATCATTCAATCATTTACTTATTTCACTTAATTATTCAACAAAGGTTCACTGTGCGCTTTCTATGTGCCAGCCTCTGCTATATAGTGAGAAGTATGACAAGGTGATCTGCCTTCAGGGGCCTCACAGTCCCCTGAAGAAAGAGGCACTAACTAGTTATAAAAACACGGTCACAGATGGCATTGCCCACAAGAAGGGAAAACGCAGGAGCCAGGGGAGCGAACAGCGGGGAGCTGACTGAGAATGACCAGTTCAGAGAAGGGCTCCCCAGGAACTAGCTGCTGTGCAGACACCGGGGGCTGCGGGGAACGGACTCGATGAAGTCGGGGGGAGTCGGATGGTGGCGGAGTGGGGGGCAGCCCCGGCAGAAGGGACAGCGGGAGCAAAGCCTAAGGGGGGGAGAAGGGGCCACGCTCCTGTGAGGACCAAAAGCAGGCCCCGGGCGGAGACGGCGATGCCCGGTGAGCACGGGGTCAGGCGAGCCCAGCTCGGGCAGGCCTCACCGGCAAACGCAAGCATTTTGACCTCTATTCTAAAATAAACATACTGTCAATACTCTGAACAACCCTCTCATATCACTCTTCACACCTTAATGTAATTCTTTTTCTCTGTTCACTGAAATTCTCTAAGCACAGGGACAATGAGTGTGTATTCAATGCTGCAGCCTCAATGATTAGCAGAGTGTTAGATTCTCGATAAAATATGTTGAGTAAATGAATGAATGAAGGCCCTATAATGTACAAGGTCCTATGCTAGATTCTAAGGATGAAAATTAAATAAAAGATAGGCCTTTCCCTTAAAAAGCTAGGTTTAGGACTAGGCGTTCATTCACCCAGTCTACAATCACCTGTGTCGTGTATTAGGTTTGATTTGTAATTGGGCTTCTATGTAAATACAGCCTTAACACTACCTGAAGTGAATGTTCACTCCAGTATTATATTTACATTTGCAAACACATTTTACAATACTTATCTGAAAAAGGTAAAACAAATTTTTACTCTCATAAATATATGAATTATTTTTATAACAGCAATTAAATTTTAAGAATGAGAGTTCTTGTTCATTCGTTTTTGTATTTTTCTTTCTATAAATACTTTTTTGAGTTGGGACCACATAAGAGGGTTTGTTTTGAGCTACAGCCATGCACCACGTAACAACATTTTGATCCATGATGGACACCAAATATATAACAGTGGCAGAAAATAAAAGCTCCATGCATGTTGTGGCTCCTGAAGACCTTCCTGTGGGACAAGATGTGGAGGTGGAAGAAGTGATACTGATGATCCCGAAGCTAATGTGTATTTGTGTCCTAGTTTTTAACAAAAAAGTTTAAAAGGTAAAAATATAAAATTTTAAAACATAAATAAAGATATAAAGAAAGAAAATATTTTTATAAATGTACAATGTGTGTTTTAAGCTAACTGTACAGAGTTAAAAACTTAAAAAGAATTTAAAAGTTTATAAAGTAAAAAAGTGACAGTGAGCTAAGGTTTATTTATTATTGAAGAAAAATATTTTTTATAAATTTAATGTGGCCTAAGTGTACAGTGTCTATGAAGTCTACAGTAATGTCCAGTGATGTCCGAGGCCTTCACATCCACTCAGCTCTCACTGACTCACCCAGAGCAGCTTCCAATCCTACAGGTGTACCAATTTTCACCTTTTATACTGTACTTTTACTGTATCTTTTCTATGTTTAGATACAAAAGCACTTACCACTGTGGTCCGACTATCCACAGGATTCAGCACAGTGACACACTGCCCAGGCCTGTAGCCCAGGAGCCGCGGGCCGGCTAGACCGTATACCCGGGCATCGCACAGGAGCCTACGCCATCTGGGTTGTGTACGTGCACTCTGTGAGCTCACGCATGCTGAAATCACCTAATGCATTCTCAGAGCACATCCCTATTGTAAATCAATGCACGAGTGAGCTGATTTATTTACAGGAAAATATACCACAAAATATACCTCTTCCCTTCAGTAAGTATACGTATATAACTATGTTGCATTGATTGGCTTAATTTGATCTGATGTACTCATTAAGTTTTTTCCCCCCCGTGGCCATACTTATGCATAGAGATTTAAAAAAAATACTCGTTTAACATCTTAAGACCTTTACTTAGGAACAAACAAAAAATTCCCTCCAAATTTTTGGTGCTGCAATACTCAGTGCTATTGATATACCTGATGTGCTTTATTCAGATGTAAAAGTGCAGGGGAGATGGGTGGGTTCATCAGATGTGGCAAGCTGTGAGGTGTTCCAAGAACGGCTTTAAGAAAATAAAAGTAAAAATTTAACTTTATGATATATATGGAATTTAAAAATAAACGAAACAAACTTCTAAAAGGATAAATGACTACTTCTTTAAACTTTCAACAAATTAACTGGAAGTTCACTTATATACTGACCTTGTCATTGCACAGGGACCCTTCACTCCGCAGGCCGACACTACCCCTTGGGCCAAACCTGCTAGGGCTGAAGTACTTCTTTCAACACTAATATAATCTTGGCTGCATTAATAGAAATGTAATGATCATAGGAAGGAGATCTCACTGCACTCTGCGCTGGCCAGATCCCCTCTGCAGGACATGCCCATGCCTGTGTACACCACAGCCCAGAAATCCTGGCTTTATCTACAAGAGGGCCACTTGGAGGGAATCTAGACAGCATATCCTAACGTGTTATGGAAAGTCAAATATAGACTCCAAAGTATAGTCTCCAAAGAGGCGTAAAAAGAAAACATTAGCACTCTTATTTATATTTACTTCCATCTTAAAAAAATAAAATCATTAAGCTTTAAGATTTCTTCCGATATGGGTTGACAAGAGTGTATTTGACATGTATGTGATACATGCACTGTATATATTGGGGCTCTGCTCAAAATTTATTTCACTGATAGAATTCCAGAGTCAAAAAATAAAGAAAAGGAGGCCTCTGGTCTGGAGACTAGAAGACAGGGAAAAGCCAAACATGACTAAGACTTCATGTTAGTGTCTTCAAATATTAGAAGGCTTTTCTTCCGGAGGAAAGAACATATTTATTCTCTGATCTTCAGAGGAAGAACTAGAATAAGTGGCTAAAGGTTATGGGAATTACCATCTAATAAAAAGAAAAAACCTTCTAGTAATTAAGTGTGTCAAACCAGGGACTAGGCTGCCTTGGGAAATAATGAGCTGCTTATGCTTCAATTAGCCAAGACATAACAAGGATATCTCTATACCATTAAAACTGCAGAACAGCTATCAGATTGCATATTAGACTGAGCCAGAAAACCTCTAAAGCTGCTGCTTACACACAAATAATTGATGAGACTATGAAGTACTTAACATGAATATTGTTATATAAGAACTACCTTGGCCCTTGTGCCTGGCTCCTGGAAGAAAAACTCTAAATCTTTGGAGTTCCCCCAGTGACCAGAGTATCTGTGTTATGCTAATGAGGTGACTCTAGGTGGGCCCCTAAATAGCTTCAGGATGGGGGTGGCCATACCAGAAAGACCAACCATGTGGTTAGAGGACTGGGTCTTTAAGCCAGACTCCCTGACCTCCAGAGAAAGGAGGAAGACTGAGGGTTCAGTTCCATAACATGGCCAAATATCATGCCTACAAAAGGAAACCCCAATAAAAACCTTGGACATCGAATTCAGTTCAGTAGAGATCCCTGGGTGGTGAACAGATTGATGTGCTGGGCGAGTAATGTGCCTGATTCCATAAAAGCTCTGTGTTCAAGACCCTCCCAGCCCTAGCCTTAGGTGTCTATTCCTTTGGCTGTTCCTGAGTTGTATCCTTTATAATAAAATTTTAATCACAAGTATAGTGCTTTCCTAAGTTCTGTGAGTTGTTCTAGCAATTTATGAAACCTGAGGGGGTCATAGGAACACCCAAATTTTTAGCCAGTTGGTCAGAAGTGCAGTGGCCTGGGGACCCCCCGACTTTGTGGCTGGTGTGTGAAGTAGGGGCAGATGTGTTGGGGACTAAGCCCTTAACTTAGTGGGGTCTAGGCTAACTCCGGGTGGTTAGTGCTAGAAATGAACTGCAGCGCACTAATTGGCGTTAGACCTGTTAGGGCTGAAACTGAATAAACATATTTACTCTAAATATTTTTACTCTAAAACTTAGTGTTGAATAGGAATTCACTTCCTCATAATGCTAAAGTAGACATTATGTGTTTATACAGTTGTTCATTTCAGAAAGTAAGTAAGCTCTTATCAGAGAAAGAACACTAAATAAGTAGATTTTTAATGTATGCCGTAATGATTTAAGATTTCCATAATACTTAGAAAATAATGTTTTGGTTATTTTCTACAAAATGAAACAATTTTACAATGAAAACAAAAAAATAAGAGCAAAGAGGAAACGGACCTTTAGCACTTTTCAATAAAGTAAATTCTGCTAAAAATATTACATAGAAGAGTATCATATCCTTTGTTGATACAGTTCATAACAATGTAGGGTATTCTGGTCTATAAATTCATGTCAACCAGGAGCTAAACAGAAGGTTTAATATTTAACATTTGTTAATGGTAAAAAAAAAAAGGGAAGGAAGGAATTAGGAACACATAAGCAGATTGTATCCACCAAAAAGAGTCAGAACATATTATCACCTCAGATCATTAATTAAAATTCACTGAAAATTCCTAGAAAATGAATATTTCTGGATTAATTTAAATGTGTTTTTCCAATGTAAAACAGCACAATTAACTTCATGCCATCAATTTAGATGTAATCCGTGCACGTGGTGCTCACCTGGTTTAACAGCTCGCCCGCAGAGCTGGGGTTGTAGAAGAACTTGTAACATGGCAGGGTTGTTTAAACTCTTCATAATTTGTACAGGATTTGGCTCTGGAAGTAAGCCCTTCTGATTACTGTGCATCTTCAATGAATATAGAAATATTTTCGGAAACATTAGGACAAGGGTAAGTACAAAAGATGACATTTTAAAGGCTTCTTCCAGAAATTCTCATTCGCCTGGTAAGATTTATTTTACGATAAACACAATTTGCTTTGTATTACACATTTGTTGTATACATTTCACCACAGTCGCTAATTATGTTATATTCTACTATACAGCGTATTCTAAAATCTTCACAGAATGTCTCAGAAAATTGGCTTTAAGAAGACTAACGATTTAGCAAGGTAAATCTCTTAGTGCCATACAAGCAGAAAGATACCTGAATTTACTAACAGGAAGACGACAAAATGGGACGGGCCCGATTATAATGCTGATCTCTACAGTGTAATAATGTGGATTGCTTCCCTTATCAACATTTTCTTATAATAAAGGTCTTTATTTCATTCCTTAATCCTCTAATATGGGAAAGAAGATGGACTGGCCTTACATACATGTAACTGGGTAGCTTCCTAAAAACATTCAATTGTTCTAGGTTTAAAAAGCCAGCCTGATAGAGGATATTGGTATCACGTTATAATAGCAAAACTATAAACTGCTAGCCACGAGAAAAGGGAGAACCGACAATGACGTCTGGAATGCCTCTCCACACTCTTAGAAACGTAACAGATTTTTATTGGTAGCATGAAGCGAGGACAAGTAGCTACGAAGAATAGCCAATTAGAAATACTGGGTATGAAAACATTACTGTAAAAAACAAACAAACATAGCAGCTCTCCCTCGCTACATCCTTGGCATCATTCGAAGCGTTTTCCATGCATTATATCACTCAATCGTCCAAAGCAACTCCAAGGGCTGGTCCACGAGCCCCACGACACAGGCGAGGGGGCGAGAAGCCTGGCACGGCAGTGCCCTAACTATCCTGGGCCGGAACAGGCAGGTCACCGGGTTCAATATTAGGCCCGTGCCTCAAACCAAACTGGTGACCTGGAAGATCCGTTCAAAGAAAGCTCCCAAAAGACATCAGCAGAGGGGGGAATGCAAACGGGGAAGACAAACCAGGGGAATGGAAAATGCAAACAGAAGAAAAGAACCAGCAATGAAGAGGCTAGAAGTGCCAGCCTGTGTAAAACAGGGATCCCTGACGGAGAAAACAAAGAAGGACCTCTCTGAAGATACCATGACTGAAAATTTCCCATTATTAAAAAAAAGTTAAAGAATGAAAGGGTTCATAGAGTTCCAAATATGATACATACGAAGAAAGCACATCTAGTCACATTTTTTTGGTGCAAAGTTTAAGAAGATCAAAGCCAAAACAAAAGTGTTAAAAGCGGGTGGTGGGCACACAGAGCAATATGTAGATCTTGTAACATAGAAACCCACACCTGAAACCTGTATGTTCATATTAACCATTGTCACCCCAATAAATTTAATAAAGGACAGAAAAACTTACTGATTAAAAAAAAAAGTTAAAAGCTGTCAGTGAGAAAGAACGTATCTCCAAGAAACAAGAAGCAGATTAATATCATCTTCTCTCTCAAAGCAACAGCACTGGATTCAAGAAGGCCACAAATTAATATTTTCAAAGTGCTGCAGGAAAAGAAATTTAAATCTAGATTTTTTTATATCCAGCTGAGTTATTACTTAAATATGTGAAAAAAATATATCCACAGTCATACAAATTCTCAAAAGCTTTACTACACAAATTACCCTCTCTGAAAATGAGAAGAAACAATAAAAGCATGATGCACGGAAATTAAGGCGTTCAGTACCATCAATTTCAATCTTGCATACAAAAGCCAGGACCATAAAACAAAACAAAGCAAATGTATGGAACAATGCCTGACAGAGTGAGGAGAAAGAAAATTCACAACTATACACAGTAACTTCTGATACATTCCTCTCAGACGCTGACAGATCGAACAGGCAAAAAATAAGTAAAGATCTGGAAGATTTGAGTAACAATAAATTCAAACTAATATTTATACACACACATATGTGTGCATATAACTTCATGACCCACAAAGTGCAGATTGTTTGGGGGCACACATGGCACATTCACAGAAATCAATCATGCACCAAGTCACAAAAGAAGCCCCGACACCCCATCCCCCCAAATCAACATTAGACTACATTACATTGTCTGACCACACAAGGCAATAAAGTTATAAGTTTATATCAGAATAGTTTTTAAAAATTCTGAAGTGGCTATAAACTGAAAAAACAAATAAACTAATTAAGCTTTTCGTTTAAAAGGAAATCATAAAAATTTGAGACGCTAATAATCTAAAATTTATGATCCATAGTTAAAAGGAAACTTGCTTTAAATTCACTCCCCAGAAAACATCTAGACTGAAAACAAAGGCACTAATGAAGCATGGGTATCAATAAAAATGGGAGGGGAAGGTGTAAACCCAAGGAATCGAGAAACAAAAACATCATAAAGATAAGGGCAGAAATATGCAAAAGATAGAAATAATATCAAAACTAGAGCTCTTTCTTTGAAAAGACAAAACAGAGAAATCTCTTATAAGATGTATCAAGGGGGAAAAAAAGAAAATGCAAGTAAATCAAATACACAATGAAACCAAGGAAAACAGATGTGACAAATTTTAAAAATAATAAATCATTATGAATAACTATGAGCCGGTAAATTTGAAAACTTAGACAAAATGGATACATTTGTGGAACAGAATCAAATGCCAAATATGGCACATAAAGAAAAAAGCCCTAAAATATCTAAATATCCACTGAAGAAACTTAAGGGGTAACCAATAATCTCCCTCTGGAAGGGGCTCAAAAACCAGGTCTACATGGTCTCAGAGACGAGACTTCTTAAACTTTCAAAGGCTAGAGAGCCAGATTTTATAAAAGTTTATCCATAAATAGAAAGAAAACGGAGAGAGGGGAGAC